CAACTAAGTGTGTACATTATTCCCTCTTTGAGCCAATTCTGAAGAGAGTAAGGTTCATGTGCTCCCCTCCCTGCTTCCCCCATTTTTCCTTCTATTGTAAAAGCTCTTTCAGGCCATCTTTTATGTGAGATAATTTATCTCATTCTACCTCTCCCTTTCCCTTTTTCCCAGTTCATTCTTCTTTCTCATTCATTAATTTTATTTTTTTAGGTAATTATACCATCACATTCAACTCACATCTCTGCTTTCTGTCTATGTATACTCCTTCTAACAGCCCTAATAATGAGAAAGTTTTTAGGAGTTATATCATTTTCCCATGTAGGAATATAAAAAGTTTAACCGTATCAAATCTCTTATGCTTTCTCTTTCTTGTTTACCTTTTTATGCTTCTTTTGCATCTTGTATTTGAAAGTCAAATTTTCTATCCAACTCTGGTCTTTTCATCCAGAATAGTTGGAAGTCCTCTATTTCATTGAATGTCCATTCCTTCCCCTGAAGGATTATGCTCTGTTTTGCTGGGTAGGTGATTCTTGGTTGTAATCCTAGCTCTTTTGCCTTCTGGAATACTATATTCCAAACCCTCCAACCCTTTAATGTAGAAACTGCTAACTCTTGTGTTATTACTCTTGTGTGGCTCCATGGTATTTGAATTGTTTCTTTTTTGTGTGCTTACAGTATTTTCTCCTTGATCTGGGAGGTCTGGAATTTGGCTATAATATTCCTGGGAGTTTTTATTTTGGCATCTCTTTCAGGAGGTGACTGGTGGATTCTTTCAATTTCTATTTTACCCTCCAGTTCTAGAATATCAGGGCAGTTTTCCTTGATAATTTCTTGAAAGATGACGCTTTAAGCTCTTTCTTTTTATCATGATTTTCAGGTAATCCAATAATTCTTAAATTATCTTTCCTGGATCTATTTTTCAGGTCAGTTGTTTTTCTAATGAGATATTTCATATTTTCTTCCATTTTTTTCATTCTTTTGATTTTGTTTGTTTCTTGATGTCTCATAAAGTCATTAGCTTCCACTTGCCCAATTCTAACTATTAAGGAATTATTTTCTTCAGTGAGCTTTTGTATCTCCTTTTCCACTTGGCCAATTCCACTTTTTAAGGAGTTACCCTTTTTAGTGAATTTTTGTATATCTTTTTCCATTTGATGATTTCAGCCTGTCAAGGCATTCTTCTCTTCATTGGGTTTTTGTGCCTCTGTTACCATTTGACCTATTCTGTTTTTTAAGGTGTTATTTTCTTTGGTACTTTTTCCTCCTCATGCCTCCTTTAGCAAGCTGTTGAATCTGTTTTCATGATTGTCTTGCATCACTCTCATTTCTCTTCTCAGTTTTTTTCTACCTCTCTTACTTGACTTATAAAATCTTTTTCGAGCTCTTCCATGGCCTGAGATCAATTCAAATTTTTCTTTGAGGCTTTGGATGCAGTAATTTGGACTTTGTTGTTTTCTTCTGAGGGTGTGTTTTCATCTTCCTTGTCACCATAGTAACTTACTATGGCCAGACTTTTTTTCCTGCTGTTTGCTCATTTTCCAGCCTATTTCTTGACTTTTAACTCTTTGCTAAAGCAGGTGCCAAGTGGAGGGGACATCATCTCAAGCTTTAGTGTTTTTTGTGCAGCTGTTTTCAGAGGTAATTCTGGGGACCTGTAAGTTTTGGGCTCTTGCAAGGTGGTATGATTCAGAGAGAGGTGTGTTTACTACTCTCCTGTACTGTGCACCGGTTTGTGAATGACCACAAGCACTCTTTTCCACCCTGGAACTGTGACCAGGGTCCTTGCTCCTCTGTGGCCCCAAGCTCTGCTGTGCCAGTGCTCCTTCTCGCACTGGGACTAAGACCCAGGAATGCGACTCAGATCCAAGAATAGGCAACGCAGCAGAGTCCTGCCCCTGATGCCAGCCAAGGGACCCTTGTCATCTTCTTGGGACCCGTTGTCCTATCTCCTTATTGTCTGTGGGCTGAGAGATTTGGAAATTGCCACTGCTGCCACTGATTCCGTTGCCCCGAGGCCTGCTCCTAGTTTGCTGGGACCCAGTCTGCACTGGCAGAAGCCGTGCTGGACTGTGTTCCTCTCTCCCTCTGGTGCAACAGACCTTTCCTGCTGACCTTCTAAGTTGTCTTGGGCTGGAAAACTGTTTCACTCCTCCTTTTTGTGGGTTCCGCTGCACTAGAACTGGTTTAGAGTCATTATTTAAAGATATTTAGAGGGGTTTGGGGAAGAGCTTGAGCGAGTCCTTGCCTTTACTCCACCATCTCGGCTCTGCCTTTGCTTACCTCATTCTGAATCAGGCCTGTTTGGACTTCCCAAGTTTCTTTGAATCCATCCTTTTCATCACTTTTTGACAGCATGATTACCTTCATATATCACATTTTGCTCAGACATTCTCTAATGGGCACCCCCTTAGTTTCCATTTCTTTCCTGCAACAGAAAAAACTACTACAAATATTTTTTTATATATGGTTCCTTTCCTTTTTTTTTTTTTTTGTTTTTAAATCTCTTACTGGTATTGCTGGGTCAAGGGTTATCCGGTTTAGGCATCTTTGAGTATAGTTCCAAACTGCTTTCCAGAATGTCTGGACCCATTCACAGCTCTATCAACAATGCCTTGCTGTGCCTGTCTTCTCATATCTGCACCAACAATTGTTTTTATTTCTATCATCTCTGTCAATCTGACGGGTATATTGTGTTTTCCTTAGATGTTGTCTCCTTCAGCTTAGATTGTAAGCTCCTTGAGGGCAGAGACTGGTTCATTTTTATTTTTGCATTTGCAGGGCATCACACAGAGTCTGGGCACAGAGTAGGTAATAAATATATAATATTTATATAAATAAATATAAAATATATATTTATATATAGCTATAAATCTATATTTATTATATATAAATATTATATAAAACATACTTCTATATTTATGTTCATAACTACTTATATATAAAACATATAAATAAAGCATCTAAATAAGTAAATTAATAAATGCACGTTGATAGTGGGTCTTTTTATGCCTCCAACCCTCTTGCCCCTCCCTAGATTAAAAACTCCTTGGGGGCAGGAACTGTGTCAATCTGTCTTTCTGGCTTGTTATATCTTACTCCCCTTCCTACACTTTACTAGCCAACCAAGTAGGTTCTTTTCTGTTCCTCCCCACACACAGCACTCCACTTCCCACCCACCTCTGAGCTTCAAATAGACTGCTTCTCACTTCCACCTCCTAAGGTCCCTCCCTCTCTTCCTTCAAGGTGCAGCTTAAAACACTTTTCACAGGAAATCTCCTTCCCTGATCTCACCTGCCAGTGTTCTCCTCCAACCACTTTTCCTTTGTTGTCAGGGGTGGTGTTTCGTTTTCAAAAAGGACCAATGACATCACAGAGTGATGCCTTGACTTGTAAGTGAATTGGATTTAAGTGAGGCAGAGCTGGGCAAAGCTGTCAGCCTCACTTCTCTCTTCCTGAGTCATCAAAGTCCAGAGGCAGGACAAAATTCGAGACGATTGGATGCAATGGATGACCTTGGTGTCTTTGATGACTGACCAAGCTCTGAGCATTCCACAGCACCTGCTTCGACCACCTTCATGGAGGTTGGAACAAATTGTTCTCATCTACCCATTCTGCAGAGAGAAGTCCTAATATGCTTAGGATAGGCATTGCTCAACCCACTGACGGGTTGAGCTACCCTCAACATGGTTTAGCCCATCTGCTGAGACAGTTTAGTGGGGTATGGCCACTGCACATGGTACAGCTTCTTGGACTCACAGGTGTGAGTTGAGTGACAGATGAACACCAAAGGTAGATGGGCAGCCCTGAAAAGGGCTTGGCAAGCCCTGACACCAGAGGTGCTGGCCCTCCCTGGAACCCCCATATAGCCTACCTTGTATTATCTGGTATATGCACACACCCACACACATATACACACATCTCCTACAACATGTACATATCTGGTATATGGGGTGTGTGTATGTATTCATATGTGTGTGTATATATACATACACACACATACAATCTACAATATGTATATACTGGTATATGGAGTGTGTGTGTTTGTGTATGTGTATTTATGTGTGTATACACACACACACACATCTCCTACAATAAGAATATATATTGGGGGGGGTGTACACACACATCTCACCCGAAAGAATTTAAGCTTCTTGACAGTAGGGACTCTCTGAAAGGTAGCACAGTGCCCGGGACATGTGTACCCCATTGCTTAATCAATGAACGTTGAATAGAGAGGTGTGGCCCTCTAAAAAAGGGTCTGTATGTATGAATTCAAGTCGCCCCATCAAATGGTTGTGTTGTTTCCTACATTAAGCACAGATCTACTCTCAAGTTTGGGAACATGGAAGATCCTGGGTGATTACCAGTGCGTGTTAAATTATATTCTACATTCTCTGAGCCATCTACATTTGCAGGCTTCAGAGGTCCCTAGGTTTATCAGGGGTTTTGGTCACCATAAAGTATTAATGCCTTGAAAACGAGCACGTGGCAGAATTGGTGGTTGGTCCACACACATGATTGACACCTGTGGTAAACTGTTCAAAGCACTTCCTGTAAAAAAGTGGGTCATTCTGAGTTATATGTGCACTGTGAGCCCCATGGATCAATAGTGGGGCACACCACCGATACAACTCTTGCTTTAGGCTGCATCAGCAAAAACATCAAGACCAGAATAAAGGTGCTGTCACCTCTGGCCAGTCCATATTGGGAGTCTTGTGCCCAGGGCATATTTTTACAAAGAATGCGATGGAGCACAATTTACAGACTGATTGGAACACACCCAAGAAAGAGAGATCAGGAGGAAGGCAAGGAGCCAGTGAGATCTATCCTGACAAAAAGAAATGGGGGTTGGGAGGGAAGAGAACATCCAGAGCATCAACAGTGGAGAACGGGAGCGGAGCGTGGGCCTGTGGACTATGCCATATGATGACCAGTTGAAGGAACTGGCAGCGGCGATTCATTTGAACAAGACAGCTGCTTTCATTTTTTTTTTTTAATAGGAAAGGGCTTCCATACGGAAACCAGAGCTCTTCTGCTTAAGCTTCGGATGGCAGAACGAGGAGTAAAAAGTGGAATTTGCAAAGCTCCACTTCCGAAGTGGTTCTCAGCGCAATCGAGGTATTCAGACGTCAACAGGGCTGTCTCAGAAGCTGGTGGGTGGCCTGTCATGGAAGGTGTCGAGTAGACGGCGGACAAGCATTAGTTGGGGTTTAAAAAAAAAAAGGTTAATGCTCAGATCTGATGCTCCCTGAGGGTTCTAGAATTGTCCCAAACATGGAACCTGGTGATTCCAGGGGGGAAGAAATCAATCTGTAATACCTCATACACTTCCCAGTCCTCAATCACCATTTTCTTTTGCTCCCAAGCTCTTCGGCATTGTGTACTACAAGACCAGCTGGTGATCTCTTGAAAGGGGAACGCACAGGGAAACGAGAGTGCCGCTCGCTTTGCTCTCGGACGAGCACATGAAACCACAGGACGGCTCGCAGGTAGGTCCAGGAATTCCCCCGCGGACCGTCTTAGGCTCCGCCTCAGCGCCCAATGCTACCGGGCCATTCAGTCCAAATCAGAGATGACAGATGCCACAGACGTGCTTTGAAGGTCTGTGAGTCTATGCAAGTCTCCTCAGCATCTTCTTAAAAAAAGACATTGGTTTCTCCCCAGGTTTCCCATCACTAATGTGGTGCAGCCACAAACGATTGGCTAGTGCTCATTCAGAAACTGACTAAAACACACCTTTGTCCTGAGTTAACGAAGGGGGTCGGCAAGTAAGAACCTAAGCAAGAACGTAGACGGGGCATGTTTAACTTGAGACCGTCTTTCAGGAAGGACTGTCACTCACGGCACAAATAGTACCCACACAGACTTCCACTTAAGAAACACCATTCAATGCACTGTTTCTCAAACGTCTGTTTGCCAGGTGGCAGGTACTAGGATTTAAAAAAAAAAAGTGCCCTGCCCTCAAGAGTCACAATGATTCCTGTAAATGGGATCCCACCAGTTTGATTTGTGGATCCTGAAAATGTATGCAAAGACTTTTGAAAACTTTAAAGCCCTAAGCAAACACTGGCTATAATTGATATGGGTAGATACTAAAAAAAGTATCTTCTGAAAACAGGCCAATTTTCCCACTACCATGGTAGTGATAGGACAATTTCCTTTAAGGCAGAGAGCTGGGCACTACCCTCCCCACAACCTCCTGCCCCCAATTCATTCATAACTCAACATGCCCATTCCTGGATAAGGAGCCCAACCTGTGTGAGCCAGGAGGCAACAGGCAGCATGCCCACGTCAACATGCAGCTTAGGGGCCCCGTGCCTGGCTTCCCCTTTGCCCGAGCACTGGCTGTGGTGAGTAGGCTGTTTACCAAGCGACACCTGGTGGTGTAGACAAAGCCCTGATCCACCAGAGCTTCTCAGGAGGAAAACCTAAAGCATGAGGTGCTCTGGCCTTGAATAACTATTGAAGTTGGGAAGATCACAGCCCCAAGGAGGCATCCAGGCAACCACCTCATTTTACGGAGGAAACTGAGGCACAGGGAACGGCAGAAGTGGCTCTGACTTGATGCACTTTGCCTATGACTCAGCGTCTCACCACGCCCTGGCTCCCCGTCTTCAATCTGCAAACAGCAGGCAGGACCTTTCATGGGGCACAGGCAAAGATACACAAGGGAGCGGTTTCCCAGGACCCCTCTCAGGGTCACTTCAGGGGGACACAGCATCCTTTGGAGAGAAGTACTATTCAGAGAGCCTGGAGGAGCCGAGCTTGGAGAGTCTGCATCTAAGGAGCGTTCGACAATAAAAGAGCCCCCCAGGTTGGGTTGGACCTGCGCTCTGCAGCTTCTGGGTCTCCACAAAGCGTGCATACTGATGAGAATGGGTAAACGCAGGACCCAGAGCTCTGCTGCCTCCAAAAGAACGAAGCTTTTCTAGACAACAGGGCACGGAATCTAGCCAGTGTGTCTATGTCCTTCATTTTCTAGGACAGGGAAAAGAGTCCAGAGGAGCTGAGCCTTGCCTCTGGTCACCAGGCCCCTAGACTTGTTCTCTCTTCACCCCTGCCCCTCTACTCCAATCAGCACCTTAGATGCCAGACACAAAATAAATAACCAACACGTTCAACGATAACTGCGCCTCCACTGGCTTAGGGAGCTCCCAACAATGCCCATCTGCAATCTGGATCTTGAGCTGCCCGGAGAAATGAGAGCTCAGGTGACCTGCTTAGGCTCACTCAAGCAGGAAGGGCATGTCAGGGTGGGATCTGAACCCAGGCCTTCCTGGTTCAAAGGCCAGCTCTCTACCCCTACCATACTACCCCGCTACTAACAAGCACATGGACATTTTTAACTCATATAACTGCGATGTGTGAAGTGTAATTGTGTGTACAATTCACACACGTATGTAAGATAAACACTTAAGACTGGAACTTCAGACTACTGAAGACTTCCTAAATCATTCTAGCCCTCCAGTGAGGGTGCCGTGAAGAGGAGGCCTGGAACCAATGGACAGGCCCTTGGTGATGGCCGGGCAATCACCTCACCATGCTGGGTCTGTTTCCCCTTCTGTAAAATGAAGGTCCCTCCAATCCTAGATCTAGAGCAAGCGTCCCACGTCCGGGAGCTGGACATCTCCTCTCCAATGTGTGGACGGGGCTCGGGAGCTAAGCCACTTCATTACTAATGTCATCACCACCTGTTACACAGGCTCCCTGAACCCTCTTTTCCCCCAACAGTCCTCCAAATCCTGAGGTCCTCTACTCACTCCAGCTTTAGGAAAACATGAATCTGACTCACCGATTTGCTCTTGTGATTCTATGTGGTGAAGGCTGAAGCTGAAATTCACATGTATTCTCTGAGCACCCGCCACCCCTCAGCCCAGCCCCTGCTGTGGACAGGACAGGAAACGCCCCTCACAATGGCCACGGCATTAGGCAGAGGACATCTGAACACACCACCCCACACTCCAAACCTGCTCTGTCCAGGGCTGCCCCTTCCACCCTCAGACTCATTCCGCCAGCCACTGTCCCCCAACCCAAACAAGGACTCCCAGAGACCGATTCATGAAAACACTTTAGAAAGAATGAGTTAGTGTGTGAAAGGCATGGATGAATTTTATTTATTACCCTATATCTACAATTTAATTTGAGGTAAAATATAAGCAACACATTAAAAGGTCTACTCTGCTACCATGTCATATAATTTTCCATTGTGAATATTGTGGCAAAGCTAAGGAAAACTCTAAACCGTCACATCTTCTAGCTTTTCATAGAGCTGGTATCATACAATTTTTTTTTGTTGTTTGTGAAGTTTCAACACATTTAAAGTTTCTCCTACAAAGTGTGGGGAAGATATCAGAGGATGCATAATTAGCTTCTACACCTCTTAGACATGACACCGAAGCCTCTCTCTAACGCTGCTTTGGCCGCCGCCTTTGGGAGGTGAGGACATGGCAGATGAGCTGGTGTTCTAACCCGGGGCTTCTGGGAATGAGACCCCATCCAAGCTGGACACCCTCCCCACCCATGCTACTGACTCCCACGCCACAGCAGGTCACGCTATAGGGAGGCTCCAGTGTGAAACTTAGCTTGCCCAAATTTCCATACCTGATTTTTAACTGTGCTACTATTCGGATACATCATGCACTCTTTATTTGGACAAAAATAAGTAAAATGGGAAGAGGGTTCGTTGTTATCCACACACTGAGATACTGACCTCTTACTAACTGTCAGGTGAACCAGATGGTTTTTTTATTTATGAAAAACATGAACCGTGATAGATAGCGTAGGAAAAAGTCCAGTCAAATATACATATACTATTGTCCACTCAGCCATTAAAGGAGAAACGGGAACCAAAAATCATTGAAATGATTTTTTCAAATAGAAAAACTAAAGAACTGAACGATCGTCGGTAGGTGTTTTCTTCACTGCAAAGCTGAGAGGGGTCCAGCTGGAGAGATCTTCCCTTGGCTGGAAAACGACACCATTTCTCAAGTCTGTGCTGATTACGTAAAAAAACAAAACAAAACAAAACAAAAAACCGATGAGATTCATCCGGTCCTTTTTCCAGCACTGCTGCAAAATCCTTAGAATAGACTCCAAAGTAAACCAGCCATTCCAAATCTACAGTCACTCTGCTCTTTTAATTCAATTCACAGAACTGCTGAAAAAGTAGACATTTCTATCTAAAAGTAGAAAAAAAGGTTTGTATAGAAGGTAATTCTGTTATACAATTATATTACACAGCTGCGGCTGTAACAGTTCCGGCAAGCTCTTCTCAACCACTGATACTTTTAAGCTAGAGGGGAATAAAGAAAAATCTATTAACTTAATTTCAGGAATTTCACCTTCATCAAGACGACAGTCTGAGTCTGCCGTGACTTCTCGTGTATCACAGTCACTGCAGCCACTTGCATTCTAACACTGAGCTTTGACCCCTGACATTCAAACAGATGCTGGGCAAGCACCAATGACACCCCCCACGTCAATTTGTATTAGTTACATCATCAAGGCCCACAAGATAATCAAAAGAACACCACCCCCAAAACTGGACAACCTCTCCCCACCACAGCTCATGCTACTCAGTGTCCGGCGACGAGGGGGCTGGCCCTGGCCACACTGGCTCTTCTCATCTCTTCATTACAATATGGTGCCATCTATGTTTATTTGGTAAGGGGAGCAGAGTGGGCTTACATTTCTCTAAGAACTTGCCAGTTTAGTGGAACCCAAGCATTGTGACTCCCAAATCATTTACTAGAAAAAGCACAATTCATATTTCCATGGAGAGGGCAAATCGCTACCTGGAAAAGCAACTGATGTTGCCTTGATAATAAACATGCTAAGAGCAAACTCGCACATAGCACTTCAGGGTCCACCCATCATCCACACCTAGACCTGTACCGGCCCCTCTTCCTTCCCAGAATTTTCCAGGCAAGATAGAGGTTTTAATACTACTCCAGGGTGTGCAGACAGACAGCCTGGGTCCAACCAAACTCGGGATATACACACATACATACATACATATACATACATACACACACACATATATATATATAGATAGATAGATAGATATGTCCATGTATATGTTCTATGCACATTCTAAACAAGGCTCCAGCTGGACTGAACAGGTGTCCTCCTGGCTGCCCATGAGCACGCCCTCTAACAACACTGGCCCAGTACTTTCAGGACTGCAAAGGGCTCTATGATTTTGTAAAGCCCCTTTTCAGGACAGCTAGGTGGCACAGTGGATAGAGCACCAGCCCTAGAGTCAGGAGGACGTGAGTTCAAATCTGGCCTCAGACAATTAATACTTACTAGCTGTGTGACCCCGAGCAAGTCACTTAACCCCACTGCCTAAGCCAAAAAACAAAAACAAAACAAAACAAAAATTGCCCCTTTTCATCTGAAACATAAGTCATTTACCCTAGGAATGAAGAGGTCTACCACGTCGGGTCTGGTTCCTGTTTGATCTGAGAACTTCCTTCCGTTTCCTTTATATCTACTAAAAGAGAAAACAATAGTCACTTGCATAATGAAAGGAAAGCCAAAGCAATGAATCAACGTGCGTGTCACCATAAAGTGTTTAATTACTCTACTAAGATAAACTGTAATAAAAATTTCAATGTGTTCAAGTCGTAATATTGTCAAGGAAATAATTGCATTTCTGTGGCAATAAAACCAACGCTCATCTTGTCTTAGGTATTTATTTATAGAAAAAATATTCTGGATTTAGAAATACACTGTCCAACTTATGCCAGAGTTTGTTTGCCTATGTAAGCCTTTACATCTCATTTAGGATCCCTAAAATGTCTAAAATGTTTGGAAATAAAAGGGCCCAAATGAGTTACACAGCCCTTCAGTAATCTTGGAAAATGTCATAAAATGTATTACTGCAAACCAACAAATAATCTTCACGCAGAAACAAGAGAACAAAGCGGTCATTTGGTTCTACTGAAACACTTTTTACAAAGACCACACCTAATCCTCTTTTCCTAATTAAGGGAGGGCATAAATTCCCTTTCCAACAACCCTGAATACCTTCTGTCACAGGAACCTCCAACTGGCTTGGATCAGCTGATTCTACACAGAAAAAAGAAACACAGTTTTTTCTAATGCCTTTAAAAGTTAGTCAAAAACTGCTGGATAAAAAGTCATAAATGACGTATCGCAGACTGCCGTGCCCTGACGAGGATGTGTCTGTGACTAAAAGCAGGGCAGACAGAGCGCCTCTCGCTCCTTCACAAGGTACCATCTCAGGTGATGAACGAGGGCACCCCCGGAACCCGGCCCCCTGCTCTGGCCACCAACAAAAAGCAACGTGGAGCACGTGGAATTTGTGACCAAGCAGGTCTTTTCCCAGCAGTTGGTACCGATCTGAAGGCAGTCCAAAGACGCTGCCCATTCTAATGGACACTTTAAAATTAAACAACTGCTCTTGCCGACGTACTCCACGCCCAAAGCAGTGCACCCCCAAATACCTCCAACAGTCCTAATCCTTCCCACCACAGCTCCCCCACGTTCTGCGGCAGAACAGGCTGCGTGGCTCGCTGGGGACCCCCACGCCACTGTTGCTACAGCCACTCAGACTGATACAAAGTCGCCTGAAGTCTCTCTCTCTCCTCAACACACAGGCTGACATGCCCCGTCCTCTGAGAGCTCATTTTCAGCAGCACGCTGAGAGCAGCTCCCCTTGGTCATGGGGATCTGGAGTCTATTACAGATGATCCTGGCTGGGGGAACGGTTTCTGTTGTTGTACATACCTTGTATTACTGGGCCTTCTGATTCGGTCTGATCAACCAACTCTGAGAAAGCAAGTGACAGGATCGGATGAGTTTATAAGAGAAGCCGCCTCCAGGGCACGTAACGTGCTTTCTATCTAGTCTCCTGACTGACAAGCTGACAAGGCAGGAGGCGCTGCATGGCATGCATGCATACCACAGGCCCAAGATGAAGGGGGCCCAGCATCCACAGCTGTGGTCTGAATGCTATCAAATCTAGTCGGGTCATTCCGTGTACCAACATGTTTAACGTGAACATAGCCAAGGTAAACTATATAATCATTCCCTAAGTGACAACCAGTCCAGGAATCAGAATTTGCACCATGTCTACCTTTGTCTTATTAATTAGACTTTTTAACAAGCTTTTGAAACAAGGCCTGTCGCTGGAGTGCAGACTCTCTCCTGGCTTGCCTTCTTGTATCCACGATGGCCCAGAGTCCAGGGAAGGCTGGAAGGCAACTGGTTATGCCCACTATCCTAAAGTCCAAATTGTGCTTAAAACATTCCCCTGCTCCAACCAATAAAGATTAATTTCTGAGTTTTCCCTAGGAGCTTTCCCTAAAGAGCTCTAGTGAAAACCTAAACTTATCAAATGCAGTAAACTGTGTTTCAAACTGAGGGGATAGAAGAACACCACCATGTCGGACTAGCAAGTCCTAATGTCTTGCCAATAAAACCCAAGCAACAGAAACACACACACACACACACACACACACACACACATCTCTCTCTCTCTCTCTCTCTCTCATATTCCTAGTGCAGAGACAGAGGAACAATGACCATGGGAAATGTCACACTTAACAAATACCAATCTTATTAGGTCCTTCCCAACTCCTATAATCTCATGAAATACTCACGGTTATTAATGACAAGTCCTGGAAAAGGTCTGAAAAAGAGAGGCATGGTGCTTTATGTTTCAAGGTGCATCTTTCTTCTCTACAGCCTTACACACAGGAGCTTCTCATTGCCTCGACCTCCCTCCCCCTCCACAGCTTGCTCTTCACTACTGATCCCATGACTCACTGCCCCAAACTGGTGCTAGTGCAGTGACAGCTCGTGTCTCAGTGACCGGGATTCAGCCATCACCTATTTCTTGCACCCGCTGACATCAGAGATTGAAAGGAGGTTAGAAGGCAAAGAGAGGTCTAACCAGAAGTTCTAGCTCACCGCCTTGCTCCAAGAGCCATTTTGAGGACAAAAACCAGAAGATTACCAAGATTACTATAGCTCTAAGGAAAAAGGCAAGATAGTGTAGCTGTTTTCCAAACAGATCCCAACCTAGGAAACACTAACAAAGTCCCCACGGGGTAAGGGAAACAGCCTCAAGGGAGGTGCCCCTCCCCCCCCACTCACTGGCCATCCCCTGAAGGCAGAGGTGTGCCTTCCCTCCCCCACAGCGTAGGGATGTGCTGCCGGGAGGCGCTGGATGACAGAGTCAGGATTTGAACAGATCTCGCCAGACTAAAGCCTGGGGGGCGACAGATGTCTTTAAATATTTCAAGGATTATCATGTGGAAGGGGGATAAGGCCTAAGGCAGAACTGGGAATATTGGGGGGAGACGGAAAAGGGGCACATTTACAAGCAAGGCCAGGAAATGCTTGGTCATAATTAGAACACGCTGCTTCAGGGAGTGCTGGGATCCCCATCACTGGAGATCTTCAACCAGAATCTTAAAAACCATCCTGTGGGCAGGTTGTAATAGACATTTCTTTTCAGATACGAATTGCCCCAGATGGCCAGTGACAATCCTTCCCACATACGATTCTGTGATTCCAGTTAATTCCCACTCTTCTCTCTTCGGGTGCAGAATCCTCCCGAGTCAAGGAAGGCCTCTGCTGAGCTTGTTACCTACACAAGTGACTCACGAATAACCTGAAGCAATCGGCTCCATCATTTCTACAAGACAATCCTGTGGATCACACCTGTCACTCACCCATCTACAGCAGGTGGAACTAAGGGGAGGGTCTGCAGGTGGGGTCAAGGCCCACAGCTCCATATATTCTTGACCGAGGGTCTGCAGTGCGTCAGGTGGGGCCAACACTGCTCGTGGATGTGTGTGGAGGGGTGTGTGTGGGGGGAGGGGAGTTAAGTATTTTGCAGAGACAAGATTCTAGGGAAAGGCACAGATAAGGAGGTCAGGAGAGTATGAGTAAGAAAGGGCACAGTATGGCACAATGCATCAGTCCGTAGGCAAAAAGAATAACAGGTACGTGTTCAAAGATCCACTGTGGTCTGAGCAAGGGCATGCCCAGTCTGGAGTTAGGGAGTGGGGTGGGTCTTACAGAACAAGGTCAGAAAAATACCCTAAGTCTCAAAAACAATCAGCCCTGGCAGCAACATTTTATTATAAACACTTACCCAACATCCGTCCCATTCTACTAATAGCAACAGAGATGTGGGCTAAGGACACTCCCAGTTTTTCTTCCCTGTAATCCACCTTTAGTCTCGTGATGCCAGACTAATTTTACATATCTCTATGCTGGCAAGGCCGGCCAGGTGGGGCAGTCAAAATCCAACTGCAGACACTTCCTAGCTGTATTGACTAAGCAAGTCACTTCACCCTGTTTGCCTCAGTTTCCTCATCTGTCCAATGAGCTAGAGAAGGAAAGGGCAAAGCATTCCAGGATCTTTGCCAAGAAAACCCCAAATGGGGTCACAGACAGTCACACACGACTGAAATGACTCGACAGTAACCTATTTGCTGGTCTATCACCCTTCAGTGGCTCAGCGGGTTCCCCTAACCTTCAAAGCTTTTCCACATCATGCCAGCTAGGACAAACTGAACTCTTGCCCACCTAGTAAAGCCCAATCCAAAGGTCAACTCCCCCAACGAAGCCTCCCTGGCTGCCTCCAGGCAGTCTTTCCCCTACACTACCCTGACCTCACAGTCCAGGGACAGCACGTTCTCGTGCCCAGACCAGGTGCTGTTTCATGTAAGAGGGGTCCTGTCTGCCATCAGATTCACTGCACTCCAAGTTCCATGAGAAGAGGAGCCAGCCCCCAGCCTGCATTTCCCTGTGCCTCGCGTGCCTCAGACTCTGAGACAAGGGCAGCACAATCAGTTACCTCTCTGCTGCAATCACATAAAATCAGCTTCTGCTTTGGCTCACGCTGAGCACCCCCTGGGCCTCCCATGGGGCCAGCTGCCCACTCGTTCACTCTTGGGATAGTGACCAGGGACAACTTTTTTGGAAACTTACCTAATGACAGTGAATTTGATAAATTCTGCTGAATCTAAGATTCTTCTCATGGAGCTGATTTCCAGATAGCTGGGGGCTTTGAAGGCCACCCCAGGGGGCATCCCATCTACGACCACACAGCCAGGATTGATGGTGATTTTCCTATAGGGGACTTTCACAGGAAAGCCCATGCCAATTGCTTCACCTGGGATAGAGAACATGAACAAGAGCACATGGGCAGCTCCTCCTCACTGGTTCAAAATTAAGTCATCCAGCTTTTCCCTCCAGAAGTCACCTTTGCATTTCAAACAGGATTTTTATGGTACATGACAGTAATCACTGAAGTAAGACTTCCCACAAGTAACTAAGCCAACACAGAGAGCTCTTCACCACAATCCCTACGAGTCTACAGCACACGCAGTATCATCGCTCAAAGCTTTGGTGACTGAAGAAGTAGTTTGGTGATGCTGGGCCTGCAGGCGGGGAGACCCAAGGTCAAATCCTAGCCGTGTGACTCGGATAAGTCACCTAGCCTCAGTTTCACCGACTGCAAAGTGGATATACCAGCAGCAGTCACCTCACAGCGTTCTTGTGAGGATCAAATGAGGCATTTGTGAAGACAGTCTTGGATCTAGAGGAAGAAGGAGGGACGCCAGGGGTCACCGCAGCCCCGAGGCCCTCGCCACACCATCCTTCCTCCTTATTACACAACACCGGCAGAGTGACGAAAGCAAAAGCACTGCCGCCGTGGCTGCTGCCACCTCTCCCTTCACACACTGACAAGGTGCTCCAGCCACACTAAGACTTGTCTTGGACATCAGTGGTGACGCGAGTAGGGGTGGTCACGGGAGAGCCAGGACTCTGGCTGGGCAGCCCCGGTCAGGAGATCCTTGGGACTCGACGTCAGGTGGGGCGACCCCACGTGTCGCTCCTACCAGGCTGGTCGGGAAAAGCCCCAGACTTACCAAATTTGCGGCTAAAGAGATCATTCACTTGCTCTCGCAGCTGCCGGGCCTTTTCCACTTTTGATAGTCTTTCACTCTCGTCATCTAGTAAGATTTTAAAGGGAAATGCAAAGCTGTTAAATGCACACTCCTTACAGAAAAGTTCAGGTGGCCAGACAGTGTCATAATCCAATCTCTATGTCACAGCCAACTCGGCTACAGGACTCTACTAGTGATCTCCTTTGTAACTGTACAAGTCTATCAGAGTTACTAATTTACGTGAAGCTGAACACTGTTCTCAATTATAAAACCAATTGAGGAGAAGCTACAGCCTCAGGCTCCTTCTCGAGGGCAGCAGGGCTGCTTGCACACAGGATGGTCACTCATCTCATGAGATCAACCAAGCCACAGACCCCCAGGAGACCCACTGGAGCAAATGAGAAAAAACAGCTAAAAACGCAGCGGACACCATACCTGGAATTGTCACCTGAATGATGTTGAGGTCCTCCACCCCTGCTGCTGTGGTAGTGACATTGGCTGAATTCATTTTTCCTTAAAACAGAAACTTAGCATTAGACTAGGGTCAGACGGGCGTGCGCCTCGCCTGAGCTTTTTGGCTAGGGCCAGCACTGCCCCCCTCCACACCACTTAGGATGGCACACGGGGAAATGAGTCTTTTTCCACAGACACAGTATCTCTGATGAGACCGCAGGACACCTGAGGATAGTCTACGGCCTTCCTCTCATTATCTCTCACCAGATCAAGTAAACTGGTGTGTACCACCCCCAAAAGTACTTACTGAATTAACAAATGAAAAGACACTTCCCGATTGGAGACAATGATGACTTCTCATTTTGATTCCATCTCATTTCATCAAAGACTGAACCTCCACAAAAGTCCCACTCTGAAGCCTCATCCTGCCCTGCAGGTGACCCTGGACTCCAGGAGGCTGTAGGAAGTTCTAGCAGATTTTGCCCAGCTGCCAAGACTCAAGTCTTGGTTTTTGTAAAGAGGCTCTGCCCATTTCCCAAGGACCACTTTAGTGACAATTGGAGAGGCTCACTTATCGTCAGAAGGCTGGCCACATGGTAATGAATGCTTTGGCCACGGTAACCCATGAAACAAACAAGATTCAAAACGGCGCTTCGTCCCGTGCAGCCCTTCCCTCTGGCTTCTGCAGTAAAAGTGGCCGAGCGGCAGAAAAGAGGACGCAATTGCTAAGACCCCCATAGCTTTAAAACTGTCTGTAATGATAAACTTGATGACTGGCACCCTGAACGTGAGATCCATCCTCAGTGACATGCTGGCCACACTAAAGGAACTCAACCTAGGCCTTCAATACCATTTTTCTGATAAACAAAAACCAGAAGACAGAAGGAAGTACAGAAAAAGGATGGCTCACAGATTCTCCTGGGAAAGGCAAACAAAAGACCTGGCTATTGCCATGGCTGTCATCCTCATCAGGTGCCTAAAGGCAACAGGAAACATCCCTTTCCAGAACCTTGGGTCCTCTCCCATTGCACTATGTGCTCATTAGCTCATGCTCTTTTCAAAAAGACCACTGAAAATAAAGTTGGCCACCTCTGCACCGCCCAGGGTGAAGAAGTAGACACACTGTACAAAGAACTTGAGAACAGCCTCCTCCAAATTAAATCACTATGGACCGTGACACTCAGTGATGTCTGTGCAAATGGCAAATGCAAAGGTGGAATACGTGAGAGCAGGGCACAAACAGGGGATGAGAGGCCAAGAACTGTATATTACACAGAAGTCTCATACATGCTCATCAGGAAAACCTTCTCTGGAAGAGAAAGCTGGGAGGTACAGGGAAATCACGGAATAACATTTCTTTTTTTAATGACAGGATACGATTTGTTACCACTGTGGGTGTCATTCCTTAGTCAGCTATACATATAATCGATCACCACTGTTACAGTAAAAATAAAAATACAGAGTGAAAGAAATAAAAAAGAGGAAAAGATAAGGAACGAAAGAAATGAAAAGCTCCAACCTGACCTCTTCAAACAAGTCACCTACACTACAATACAAAAACAGGGCTACGACAGTCATTACTACAATTGTAAACACATGTTTACCCGATAGAAATCCACTGCCCTAACAAGGGGGACCAAGTGAACCTTGGTCAAACAGCAGTAGCAGAGAGACGGACAGGCAAAGGCGACACTGTTTTCACGTATGCACTTGGTTTATAAAACCTTACAGAGAAGGAAAGCATAAAACATTGTTGAGTAGTGTACCCTCACGGAACAGTGAGAAGCAGTCGAGGGGAAACCAATTAAAAAAAAAAAAAAGACTGGTAAGAGACCCAGCTAAGCAAAGCCGTTTTGAGGGCATTTAAGGATGACACTGGGAAGAGGACAGCAAAAGAGATGAAAGACAGAAAACGGCTGCCAAGACTTTTGTATAACAAACAAGGCATGGCAAACCCACCATGCTCGGACTCTGCCGAGCATCACAACGGCGGATGCGCACCGAAGAAAAGCAAGAGAGGAGAGGCCGCTGGGTTAGACCACATGTGCCCCGAGGAGCTCCCCGTAGGAGGCAGTATCCTTCAGGGATCCTTCAAGGAGGGGAAGACTCACTGAAGGTGCACAAAACCCTCAGTCACTCTGACCCCCAAAAGGCAGCCTTTCTGACTATTCCCCCAACTATCTGAAACTGGTAGGAGACTGAAAATCTGTGTACAAACACACACACATCCAGAGTGAAGGAATTAAAAGGGAAGAATCAGAATTCTGCAAACACTATTCTACTGCAGACTTTCCCTCTACCACTGCACAGTAAGTTAAGAAGAGGTAGAGAACACAAAATCCCCCTGGGCTGTTTACTGTCTTAAAAAGCTTTGGTTTGAGTAGAGCAAAAAAAAAAAAAAAAAAAAAAAAAGGCACCTTCAAAGCTCTCCTCCAACAAAGTGTCTGTCTCCCATGCATGGGTCAAAATTATTCAAGATTCTTTAAAAGATATGACAGAGATAACCCTGTTGACCCTCCTGATCCTTCTACTGAGTGAGGCATAAAAGAGGGAGATGTACGCTCGCCAAAGGTGTTCACCAGTGTTATGGAGGAGATCCAGCGCAGAGTCCGAAGTCAAAGAGGGATTCCCTACAGATGGTGAGGTCCTCCAGATTGGTCCTTTTTGTGGGTGACATTGTGGAGATTTCATCAAGCCCGAGAACACTGCAGAGCCTCCTAAATGAGATCCAGAATCACTCGAAAGAATTTGGCCTAACCATCCACATAAGAAAAATCAAGTGGATGAAGAACGACGATTATCTAGACTACGATATGCACTTGAGTGGATAACTGTTAGAGCTCATCTCGTATCTATTTTATGGACATAGATCAATCTATCTATATATACCTGTATACAGACATCTCTCTCTATATAGACATCGACATGTCGGTAGATACTGCAAATGGACATTAATGTGGGCTCAGAGTCGAGTGGTAGGAGAGCAGGCTGGATTCCTTTGCAAAACTGCAGTTGTTTTAATAATGCCACACTTCTCCTTGAATCACAGTCCTATGTTTTAAATACCAATACTGTGTTGCATGGCTGCAAGTCATTCATAGAACATGACAGTCTGCCAAGAAGTGGAGGTGAGGATCCCTCCCAGGCAGCGGAGAGGTACTCGGGAGGTGTGAGCAGGCTGTAGGACACCCCAAACAGGACATTGTGATGGAAAAGGGGCACACAGGACGTCAACAAAGAAATGTAAGACCCCAAGACAGGAGGGGCTGGTCACAGAGCTGGAGCAAGGAATACATGACAGCCCACGTGTTTTATCCATCTGCTCACGAGTTCAAAAGAGGCAGCGGAAGGTCCCAGAAGGGTGGGCAGACAAGCCCTCGGGGGAAAGCGTCCATGAAATGGGCCCCACAGAAGTGTGATCTGCATCACTGCAGGGAATATCCCCGATCAATGAGATCACAGATCCACTGGAATAGAATTTTAAATCGGTATCTTTGTAATCTCGATTGGTAACAAACTCTCAAATGCTCTTTCTCTCATCATACTTACTTGGAGGGCTTTTGGAAGTGCTTTCTTTAATGGCAGTTTCAAACATCTCAGGCCTAGAGATGAAGGTAAGATGCAATTTTCATCAGTAAAATGACACTGTAACTACCCAAACAATAGCAAACTTTAACCTAAGGAATTCCATATTCCAAAGACTCAAAATACACACAACATAATGTATAAATCTTTGCTGGCAGTCATATAACAATTATCTCTAGTAGTGAATGACTAGGGATATTACAGGTAAGTGAAACTTAAATCTGTTTAACAGTTAAAATTTTCAATCCCTTCAAAGTCTTCTCTCTTGAATCACACAACAAATAGGCTTGGAGAAATCAGCTAAACTGAGGAGCATTACAATTTCTTCCCTAACTTTTCTTTGTTATGTCCATTGGTGTTTTGTTTTGTTTTTTTTTAAGGCAACTGGGGTTAAGTGACTTGCCCAAGGTCACACAGCTAGTAAGTGTCAAGTGTTTGGTCTGAAGCCAGATTTGAACTCAGGTCCTCCTGACTTCAGGGCCAATGCTCTTATCCACTGCACCACCTAGCTGCCCCCTATTATGTCCATTGTTAACGTACCTTCAAATCATCAGCAAGAATTCTTGAGGAGGGACACAATCTAGAATCTAAATTGCTTAAGGACTGAAGTGATGTAGACCCGCACTAGTCTTCCCAAGCAAGCAGACACCCAAACTAGCTGCCTGAGGACAACAGGCAGGAGGACATGCCCTTCACGTGAGTAGGGACAGACAACTTAAGGGATATCTAGTGCCTTATTTCATCATCTCCCATTGTCAAAGACTGGATCTCTTAGAATTGACTAGCACCTGATCCAACTTTTTAGAAAGCAAACTAGAGGAGCCTCAGGATGGTTCTAGGTATGGCCCACAAAAAATTAGCCAAAGCATTTTCAATGAAAGGGATTGGATCAGCCTCACTCCCATACTTTTTAATGATAAACTTGATCTTGGCTTTATTTCTGAGTATCTTCTCCAGTCTTGGAATGCCGAAAGTTGATGGTCGTCGGAATGGCACACCCTCTGGTAAACCTTCGACGTAAAAATCTTCGGGGAAAGATTCGAACAATGCAAATGGTACCTTCACAGGGTGCTTAAGGCCAAGAGCCTCACCTGAAAGAGAATAGAAATCTGAGCAGAGGATGAACGGATGGAGCTCTGTAAGTGAGACAAGCAGGTTGTGATACGATATTCAGAAATGGGGTCACGGCGTGACAATCTCCAAACCCTGAACTTCCCCCCTCCACATCCCACACAAGTGGTTTTCAAGCAGGGCAGAAGAGATTCAGAGAGGTCATCGAGACACTTCAGGACCGTTGAGTGAAAGGGGCTTCTCTGGGGAGCTACCACATACCACACTAAGGTAACACCTTATTCAACATTCTAGGACAGGACACTAAGGATTTTAGCTGCTTTCCTGAAATTTTTAAAAGCTAGGAAATGCTTATTCAGTTTCAAAATACACTTACCACATTTTTCATTAAAGAGATTTTCAACTTTCTGTTTGAGGTCTGTAATTTTAGCATTCCAGGCCTCTGCAAAGAAAGAAAATAACAAAGTCTAGTTAATACAGTAGCTTCAGTGGCTGCTGCAAAGAAGTGGGGAGCACCTGAGAGAAGGTCAACCTCTTTCTAGGACACTTAGCATTTCTAAAAATCTCTGCAAGATACAATCTGGAGATTTTCCTGTTTTCAAGTGCAATGCTAACAAAAGCAGAGGCTCTAGCACTGCCTTCACAGGTTATCTCAAACCTCCCAAGGAAAAGGCCATCATGTTATTACTGTGTACAAAAACCAGCAAAATGATGATAATAACAACAATCTTTACAATCTCAGTTTGACCAAGTACAGGCTTTAAGTGCTACTGAGAAGGACACAGTGTGAACTCAGGTCAAACAAAATTTTCTAAACACACACAAGCCTAATTAATTAGATGATGCAAAATGTTCCTATTAAAATTCCCTTTCATTTAAGAACTAAAAATTGTGAACTCCATAGAAATAACTGAGAAAAAAAGCTTACCAAATGAAAATTCTCTCCCTCGAGGTTTGAAGGGAGTATTGGAACCATTAGTCTGGGTAGGAGTTCGAACAGCTGTAGTTTGCGGCTTATTATTAGGACCTAGAGATGCATAAATAAAGATTATTCACCAAATGAATATGATCCTGAGGAACAGCCATTGAAGAATAAAGACTAACATACACTATGTACCTTGGACAACATGGTAATAATACATTTTAATACTGCGTTTATTTCAAATTTGCCAAGCCATCAATCATTCCTTCCTTCGCTACATTCTCCTTCTTTCCTTCCCTTGCAGTGATGAACCAGTTCCACTGTATGCTATGGTCACCCCTCCATCCCCTATTGGTCAGGCCTTGCCAAGCTTCCGTGGCACCCACTGCTGAACAGCTGCCCTACACTGATGTGACAATCATCCCAACCACAAGACCATCCTCTAGTGCTCCTCCCAAGGGACTATCTGGATGACAACACAGAATGCCTCTTCCACACCTCTTTCTCTTCCTGAAGCATCCCATGGCTCCCCTGAAGAAAAGGTCCTTGCCTTGAACTTCACCAAAAAATTGAAGCCTAAGACACTCCCTAGCTGTGTGGCCCTGGGCAAGTTACTTGTCCTCTTGCCTGTTTTTTCATCTGTAAGATGGGGATAACAGCAGCACCCCCCTCCCACAGGGCTGTGGACAGCAGACAATGAGATAACTGTGAAGTGCTTCACCCAGTGCCTGGCACACAGCCGACACTCTATAAACGGCAGCTATCGTTGGCGCTCTTCTCCTCTCACACCACTTAGCCAATGTCACCCAGATCTCCTCACATGAACACAAGGGACCCCATTCCTCTCAACCACCTTCAGTGTCTGCCTGGCTCCTGGCTGCTTCTTGGCTGCCTCCAAACATGCCTGTTTTTCCCCCTGTCCTCACCTCATACCTTCTCTCCCTGCCACGCTCCCCCAATTTCCCTTCATGTATTGTCTTCCCCCGTCAGACTGTAAGCTCCTGGAGGGCAAGCAGGAGCTGTCTTTTTTCCCCCCTAAGCGTATCCCCACTGCTTAGCACAGGGTCTGGCACACAGCAGGCTCTTAATAACTGTTTATTGACTACACCTCTGACTGGATATGGACCAGGTATCACCTCCTATCTCTCCCCTCTGCTTTCCTACAATCCGCGCCTTCACTGCCTCCACCCGCCTCATTCACCAGACCTTGCCTCCTCCAGAGGGAACAGCAGCCTCGTGACTGCCAAAGCGATCAGCTTTGCCTCCTTCCACTGGACATCACGTCAGTTTCATGGCCCATCTTTCCCCCTGTCTGACCCCCATTCTCAGTCTCCCTCCCAGGATTTTCATCCAGGTCACAGCCACTAAGCACTGTTGGCCGTCATCTCTTCTCCCTCTGCTATCTCTCTTGGGGATCCTATCACCTCCCAAGGCTTCAACTGTCTTCTCTGAGCAGATGATTTTTCACATTTATTTCTTTGGCCCTCAGCCTCTCTACTGACTTCCAGTCTCAATGGCTACCATACACCGTGAACCGGACGTCTCCCAGAGATTTCAAATTCACTCTGCGCAAAACAGAAGCCCCTATCTTTTCTCCAAAACTTTTCCCTCCTCGAAACGTCCCTGTTAGTGCTGAAGGCAGCACCATCTCCCAACCATGTGAGGCCTGCCGCCTCATCTGCACTCACCCCACACATCCAATCATCTCTCTTCTCAACATCTGGCAGACGTCCCTCACGTGGCCAGTACGCTGGTACGGGCTCTCATGACCCAATGTCAATTGATCTTCTGCTCGGCTCCTGATCTGACCATGTCACCTCCCCCTATTCAACAAAGGGCTAGGGCTGCCTCCTTACCCCAAGGATCAAACATCTCACAACCCAGGCTCCTCCCGCTCTCTGGTCCCCCCCATATATTCGCCACAACACAGAATCACTGGCTCTCGTGGGCATGCAGTCCTCTACCTCCGGACTAGGGGCCTTCACACTGGCTGTCCCTCCGGGCCTGGAATGCTCTCGCTCCTCAATTCTGCCTCAAACCGCACCTTCTGCAAAAAAGCTTTTTCCTGGCTATCTCCCCTTGCCCCAGCCCATCGTAACCTCTCCCTTCTTGATGACCTCCAAAGTAGCCCGCTTCTCTTTTGTTGAGTCAGAACCATGTTCTCTCCCCATCACAATACAAGCTTCTGGAAGGCAATGACCACATGGCTACCCTTCTCTGTATCCCCAACCCTTATTCCACCCTCAGTCTAGGCCAAGTAAAGAACGTTTCCTTCTCTTGCTGACTCACTGAAACACACCCCCTCCTTTCTTCTTCTGATCGTACAAACCCTGCCGACTGCCTCTGACCTGTCTGAAGCCTGACTGTCTTTCTAGCGATATCTAAGAGCCTGTCACTTTAAAGTTAGCTTATTGGTTCAGGTCACTTCCTCCACTAGATCCCAATTTTCTGTCAGAAAGTCACTTTTACATTTTATTCTAATGAGAAGTTACTAGTACATATTCTATTTTTGTACAGCATTTTAACTTTACAACACTTTCTTCTCTAGACACAAAAGGGTCAAACCAAGTTTACAGATACAGTGAAGAAGGGCAGACAGAACACAGACGTGTATTAATTGGGTCTTTCTTCGTGTAGAATCAGAGAAAACTCATTCTAGAAGGGGCTTTGAGGAATGACCTTTCTGTCTGGCTCACCTCTCTCTTCAAATACATGTCAAGTACTCTGTACAATACAGACTGGTGTCTGTTCTTTCCTAAAGACCTCCAGGGTCAGGTACTTGGCTGGAAAAGTTGGTTGAAGAGAGATCCCAGAGGGCCTTAAATGCTAGGCTTTAACGTGTACAGAATGGGGAGCTATTCTCAAGCCCAATCTGCCAAAGGGCAACTGGATCCATTAGGAGGGGAAGAGACTGAAGGTGGCAGGCAAGGGCTCTGAAATGACTAGGATGGCAGCAGGCAAGGAAAAAGGGTGGCAAGCAGACATGGAGGGTGGCTCCCGTGCACTGAGGATGGAGGTGCACGGAGAACAGCACACCTGGGCAAAAATGTCCACAGAGATGGGAGGGCCAGGCCACAGCTTCTGGGGAGAGATCGGGGCAAGAGGTACACATGTAGGGGACAGATTTCCACAGCAAACAGACGTCTCAGCTGAAATTTAATGTCATTTCTTTTTGTTTCTGCTCCTCCATGGATGACACTGACCAAGCCATTCAACTTTTTTTTTGCCTAAGCTAAACAACCAAAAATGCTCAACCACTTCCAAGTTCTTTTTCTAATCCTTTTATCTGCTGCGGTTTCTGAATTCTCACTTGAAAAACTCACTGAACCAACATGGGCAGAGACTGCCCAGACCCGCCAGTTACATCTCTCTGAATCTAGCCCTGTCCACACTGGTTCCTGCTTCTGCCTTGGCCCAAAGCCCAGATCTCCCCACTCCCCTCCCCACCTCCTTCCACTTGTAATTAAACCAGTGGTTCCTCATTCCCCTCAGAGTATAGCCACCACCCAGGCCCCCTGGTTGCCTAAAATGTTCAGTCCAACAGCATATCTGTCCCTGACGAAGCCTAAAAAAAAAGGAAACACAATTAGGAGGCCAACAGCTGTCCAGAGCTCTGGGTGCAGAGAGGTGTCCGCAGCTTCCCACACCCCAGTCAATTTTGGACAGGGCTTTCTTTAAGAGCTCCCCAAACACTGACCACTGCTATGCATAAACCTGGTGTGACACAATTTTAGGGCACCGTTCCACAGCCACAGGAAGAGCACAGTGCTCCTCAGAGACTCCTCTACCCCCAATTGCGCTAAGCATCCTTGCTCCTTGAGGACACCTCTCACAGGTCACTCCCAGCACGGGTCTGCCACCCCTCTGCATGTGCCTGTTCACTTCCAAGGTCAACCCGAGCCCTGTGATGGTTTGGGTGAGCGGGGATCAGCCACTCCTGACTTATCCGACAATCTCAGTAAAGGCCTTAGGCCGTCTTCTAGCAAACCTATACCCTTCCTCAGAGAGCAAAAAGGAAAAAAAATCAAATACAATGTAATTTCTTCACTACATGATGGTCTCCCTCCAATAAAAAAAAAAAAAGGTTAATCAGCCAACTCTGCCTCTCGTCTAGTGACTAAGGGAATCTCACAGAACAAGACCCTAGCCCCAAACCCCATCACAAGAATGTTGCCACCCCATAAATCAGGCACCACCCTGGCGCTGCACTGAAGGGTGGTAAAACTGTCCCCAAGGACTCAGAGCTGGGCAGTGGCATGGTCTCACCTTCCACAGTCACCTCGATCTCCGGCACCTTGGAGTTGCTGCCGGGGCTCCGGGCTCTCTTTGAGGTCTGCAAGGCTGCAAAGCAGAGCAACGCAGACACTGAGGATGGTGTGCTGCACAGGGATGTGGGGTGGGGTGGGGGAGAGTGGGGCAGGCTGTGACCCCTGGGGACGCAAACAAGGTTTCAACCCAACGTTGACAGAAAAGTGCCTGGTGCACAGCCAGTCTATCCACGTTTGCTAGGGGCCCCAAATCCCTGAGGAATCCTGCTCCCTTACCTTTAGTGTTGACTTTACTCGCCATTCCAGGAGGTAAGTAGGAAAGAACCAGCTCCGGCCTATGAATGAAAAGAAGAAAAAGTCATCTCAGCCTGCACCACTCAAGCCCACACTACCAACGTTCCACCACAGAGACCATCCAGTCCAATGCATTAACTCGACAAGAGGAGCCCTCAGATGTGGAAGGGACTTGCCCCAATTCACACACAGCCAGAGAGTGGCCGAGGAGGGGGGGACCACAGGTCACCAACCCCTCCCATCGCCAGCTGGCTCCCAGGGTTCTTTCTGCTACACCACGACACCTCCTTTATCTCCTATGTGCTTCTCTGTGGAAGCCTCATACAAAAATCAGTGAGCGGGGCCCCTCAGAAGAGTGAGGCCATTCTAACCCCCATGCGCAGGCACCTCCTCAGGCATCAGATCTTCACCTAGCTCCTCCCACTGGCTCCTCTCCATACACCCTATGAGGTTTTAGTGACTGCAATACTTCCCCCCAAAGATGTAACGAAGAAGCAATCTTTAGCTGCTTTGTAATTAATCTGTAATTAATTTATGCCTTATTACTTATAACACGATTCACGAAAATACTGTTAGAAATAGCTTCGATATCCATAGCACCTATTGCTTAGACCACGCACACAGCACACACAGTGTGTGTTTATTCTAGCCAGGCCCAAAGCTATAAAGTTCAACGTCCATCAGCACTGAAGATGAAGGCAGGGCAATGACATTCCTAAAATTCTGCCAAATGGCTTTCTTTCATCCCCGAAATGCAGAGACCCAGTGTAAGTGATCTCTGACAGCCCTCGCAGGGAATCATTCAATCATTAAACCATCAGATGCTAACAAGGATAACAGCAGTTGTAGTTACAACAAAGGCCTCAATTTTGATCATGCCTTTCACTCAGGAATTCTAAAGCATTCCAGAAAAATTGATTTTTCAACTACCTAACTCGTGCGAGACAAAAAGGTGCGCTCATGCATGATCTCCAAAAGCAATGGAAAAGGCTGGGATAATGGACCAGACCTTTCAGCAGCTACAGCAGGATCAGATTTGGGACTGCGCTGCAATGACACGCTCTATCCCCTGCACTTGGCTGTCCCAAGGTGACTAAAGGGGTAGCAGGCTGTCATGCGCCACTTACTTTTTAACCACAAACTTGATCTTATTACTTCCGCGGACAATCCTTTCGAGCCGTGGAATTCCAAACCAGGTGGGACTTCGGAAGGGGATTCCTTCTGGCAGGCCTTCCACATAGAGGAACTCAGGATTGGATTCAAAGACTGGATATGGTACCTTGACAGCCTCAGTAAGTCCAAGAGCTTGAGCTAAACAACGAAAGATAACAGCATTTTATTTTCCGAGCCAGGTAATGTGTAAGTTCAGATTTCTTGCTTGAGTCTCCTTGTATTCCAAAAGTCCCCAAGGTCTACGTAATAACACAGACGTGGGCCCATTTTTCCTAATTTTTTGCACACAGAAAAAAATCCGTATTAACCAAGAAGCTAACTGAAACACATATTGTTTCTTCTGTCTTCCCCTCGCCAAATACAGCAAACCCCGGCGGCTGTTAATCCAAACTGGCAAAACTTCACTTTGTGACCTGCTCTTCTTCCTCTGGAGAGGTCCCGCTAGCATGCCGGGGAGTACAACAGAGCAGGATCAAAAGTGAGAAGCAGACTTGTTTCAGGAAAGTGAGAACCTAACCCTCAACAACAGCTCAAAGGGTCCCCTCCCCCCCACCCCCGGCCCCGGCTTGGTCATCATCCGAACGTACCAAATTTCAAATTAAAAATCTCTTCCACCTGCTTCCGTAGTTTAGTGATTCGCACATTCCAATCTTCTTTCACTAGGGAAAAGCAAAACAAAATCGAATTCATGACTTTTCCTTTGCCCACTGTTATCTTATAACCAACCACACGTGGGTTTTAAAAGGTCTGAAGAAAACTCTTTCCTGTGCCTAAAATAAAATTGTAATCATATGCTTTGATCCAAAGATATCTGAAAATCAATCTCAGGACAAAATGGAAAGGAAGGAGAAATTAAAGTAGGCGTGCAACGTACACATGACAATAGTGGAAAGCAATAGTCTTACCTGGGGTATTGGTTCGGGGCTGAGTTATTTCCGGGGTGCTGTGAGTCAGCAGCTCTGGTCTGTAATTTGAGGCACATGAGCAAATTATTTGTGAAAAGCAAGGATGGATTTCAAGGAAAAAGGCTTCACTCTTAATTAAACTTCCTAATGCAACTACATATATTAATTACTAAGCGTAGGGATCACAATGCTAATAAAACAGACATTTGAAATTCAAGTTAAATTTGCCTTTTAAACCTGATTGGGGGGAGGGAAGAACAGAGAAAACAGAATGATGAGCTCCAGCCAACAGATCACACTTCGGTGGAAACAGCCTAAGTACCATGGAGGGAAGCTCTAGACGCCCCCTCTAAGGCCAGCCCTGCAACGGACGCCTCATTAATCTCTACTGAGGATCACGGAGCTCACAGCCGGGAAGTTCTGTGAACATCACCTAGCTTACTCCATTCACCTGACAAATGTACCCACAGCCTCAGGTGCTAACCTAAATTCACACCTCGCCCCAGGTAACCCAGGCACAGGACGGGGTCTTCTAGTGTCAAAGGCCCTGCTCTTCCCCTCAGACCAGAGCTAACCAGCCTGTGACACTCAGCCCTGTGCAGCCTTCTTTGGCCGCCCTCTAGCCCCAGCTAAAGCGGTTCCCTCCAACCTCACTGTCACACATCACTTTGGGCAGGTGGATCCTTTACCATTATCACCTCCAACCTTACACTCAGGCATTACACTTGTGCCAAACCAGTATCACGTACCTGGTGGGCGCAACAACTCACTCACTATGGATGTCAGAGCCTTCAGCAACCAACAGGCCCTAGATCAAGGCCAGGCACTTGATGCTGGTTGCAACTGATTAAAAATAGAGGTATCAGTTTTTATGTCTCTCTCTCTCTTTTTTTGGGGGGGGGAGGGTGGTGGAGAGAATTGGAGTTAAGTGACTTGCCCAGAGTCACAGAGCTACTAAGTTTCTGAGACCAGATTTGAACTCAGGTCCTCCTGGCTCTAGGGTTGGTGCTCTATCCACTGTGCTACCCTAGCTGCCCTGATTTCTCATCTTAAAAACTATTTTCTTCTTTCTGAAGAACTAATAATTATCTGAAGGGTTTACTATTTGAAGATTCCTATTCTTCTGTTTAAGTGATTTCATCCTTTTGGAAGTGGCTTCACTGCCACTGCAGTGCACTGGGGGCCACATGACCAGGAAACTGCTCCTGGGGAGCTGAAGGGACCTCTCGGGCTATCTCACCCACCCCAGGGCATCTCTTCCAAGACAGCCTCTACAACACGCCTCTAGCCCACCCCGGCGGTCCTCGAACCCCTACCCAAGAAGACCTCCAAGGCAGCACAAGGACCAGCCGTTCCAATCTGGGGAAGCTTTCTGACCTGAGCTCCTTCCTGCCTTCCCTTGCTTTCCCCAAGCTCTAGCCTCAGCAGCCCAGCTCTGCAAGCCCACTCCCCAAGCCCCCTGCTCCTCCTCCTCCCCCCTCTTCCCATCAGCCCTTCCATCTATCATCTGAGAGCAGCTTCCCTCATCCTTCTTCAACACACACCTGCAACCTAACATCACCTCATGGGTCACAATGGAGGCAGAGAATAGCTGGGGGCACTTCAAAGCCCCAATGTTTAAAACTGAAAGTGACACCAGACACAGAGGCCAGAGAGGGGACCCAATGCACAGCAGGGCTGGGCGTGTCACAAACACCTTTCCACCAAGGCCCGTAAAAGAGAAGCCTTTTATTTTTTGTGCCCCAATATTAACTTACCTTTTGATTACAAATTTAATTCTGTTGCCCACTTGAATGATTTTTTCCAGCCTTGGGATCCCATACCAGGATGGGCTTCTAAAAGGAATGTTTTCTGGGAGCCCTTCCACATACAGATCATTCGGATGTGCCTCAAACTTCTGGTAAGGCACAGCCTTGGCTTCAGTGCTTCCCAAGGCCTCAGCTGTACAAAAAGAGAAAATCAAGCGTGCATCTTTGACAAAATCCCCTTTAGTGACAAGCAGGGAAACCAAAGTCAGAATGTTCTAATAATCTCTAACAAGCAAGGCAGCCAACATGCATGCTCTGAAGCTACAGAGAGGGATCTGCTGCCGAACTTTTCCCCTTGTGTAGTGCTCTGTTTGTGGCCACTTCACAGAGACCTTTCCAGTCTCACCACACCATACTCTCCAGCTGGGTTTCGTCCATCTGGTAGTGTGGGCCTCCTGGCTATTCCACAAACAAAAACCTCCATCTCGAACACTCTCCCTCTTCCCCTCTGACCACTGACCCCTCTCTGGCTTCCTCTAAGTCCCAACTAAAATCCACCTTCTCCAGGAAGCCTTTCCTGATCCCTGTTAATCATCTATTTATCCTGTCCATAGCTTGTTCGCACACGGTTGGTTTCATGTTGTCACTTTCATTAGACTAAATGTAGCAAATTCTGGAGAGCAGGGACTCTTTTGTCTTTCTTTGTATTCCTAGTGCTAAACACATGCCTTGCAAATAGTGGGAACTTGATAAATGTTTAAAAAATCTGGTGTAGCATAAAGATATGGGAAAGGCCATTTTAAAAAACTTTTCAAACTTTCTCAGTTTGTCAATTTAATTTGACCATTATATTCAAGTTTTTAAAAATTCTCAGGCATTATATGAGGTATTATTGTTCTGTTTACTGCATTTACTAACTAATGTTTCCTCTTTGGGGGGGGCAATTGGGGTTAAGTGACTTGCCCAGGGTCACACAGCTAGTAAGTGTCAAGTGCTGGGTCTGAGGCCAGATTTGAACTCAGGTCCTCCTGACTCCAGGGCCGGTGCTCTATCCACTGCGCCACCTAACTGCCCCTAACTAATGCTTCTTCAAAAGCACCATGGTCAAGGGTTTAAATCAATAGCACTACAGAGAATCAATCATCTAATTTCTTCTTTTTTCGGGGGGTAACAGAGGGTTTCAAGAGATCCTTCATTTTTAATATGAAATCACCTTAGTATAGAATATAACCACTGATCAATGTGCTTACCAAATTTTTTGCAGAACAACTGATCTACCATCTTTCTTAATTTGGTGATCCTGGCATACCATTCTTCTTTCACTGTATCAGTAAAAGACAAAAAAGAAAATCATGGAATTAACTATTAGAAAAAAATAAAGAGCTAAAACTCTATACATAGGAGTCATCATTTTTAAACTATCTTGGACCACATTAATTTATCTGAGATATCTGATGCTCTTAGAAAACAACATTTCTGAACAATCACTGAAAACCACCAAAGTGACACCACCCACAGACGATCACTGCATAGAATCAGCTACTGGAAAGTCCTTTCAATTAACTATATAGTTTAGAACACAAGGCCTATGAAACATCTGCCAAGGTAAGACTACAGGGTAGTTTGCTTTCCCCCAAATGAGCACATTCGCTTACTATACACTGTCTTGCCGAAGCAACCAGGAAGAAAACAAGATCTTCCAAGGGGTTATTTATTAATTAATTAGCATCAAGTTGAAGAAAAGGGCTCCCCCAAATGACTTTACTCTGCTCACTCAAATCGACTGATTCCTTTCCAGCTTTGTCAATTTTCACCTTCCTGACAAACGAATAAGAATAAGAATAAGAATAAAAAATAAACAATCTCTTCCTTATTAACAGTGGCTGACACACCCAGAGTACTTCACAGGTGAAAAAGCATCCATCTCTCCTACCCACCATCTCATCAGAAATTCACCCCTACTTCCTCACAGATATTATTATTCCCATTTACAGATGAAAAAATCAAGGCCCAGAGCAGTGATGGGGTTTGCCCCAGGTCACACAGACATAAGAAGTGAGTGGAAGTCATTTGTGGCCCGCATCCTATTCCTTAATGTGCTGCTTCCAGAATCCAAAGCGTTAAGCTATACTCAACAGAACACTTCGAATTTCCATTTCATTCTGGGATTCCAAGGAACAAGCAGATACTAAAGAAACTCAACCAAGCTAAACCCTCCAGGATGAGCAGTGTGTACTTATCACTAGGAACCAGCAGTGCCTAGATTATAAAAATGGAACGTAGCAGGAAGGGGTCAAATTGACACCCTTCCAAAGACTGACTTGGTTTCTAAGTTTTAAACAGCAACGTGGTTAATTTCATTAGTTAGCCAGCTCAGCAACTGCCTTTGGAAAAAATAATAAACTAATTTAGCTCTGTTTCCGACAGGCAGAAGCACTGACAGGGTGAGGAGGTAGGGACACCTTCTGGCCACCTCCCTTGTCCAGGCGCTACTTCACAGGTCATGGTGATGTCCAGATTTCCTAAGGCTCAAAGACAGCCTCGCACAGGCACCAGGCATGGGCTTTCCTCCTACCCACTTCTTGTCTCTCCCTCCTGCTTCATGTTACCCAACCAGACTTTCTCTCTCTTGTTCTTTTTTTGTGTGTTTGTTTGTTTGTTTGGTGAGGCAATTGGGGTTAAGCGACTTGCCCTGAGTCACACAGCTAGTGAGTGTTATGTGTCTGAGGCTGGATTTGAACTCAGGTCCTCCTGACTCCAGGGCCAGTGCTGGATCCACTGCACCACCTAGCTACCCCTGTCTTTGGTTTTTAGTGGCCATTACCTGCCTAACCCCAAATTCGCTTCATGGCCCCAGTGGCCATCCACACTGAGTCCTTGCCTGAAGGTGCCATGTCCTGTGTCACTAGGCCCTTTCGCTTCCTTCCTGCCCCATCTTCACACAGAACTCCACCCACCCCTTCTGCCTTGACCTCTATGTGGTGTTGTCTTCTCCCATTAGAATGTATGCTCTTATGAAAAAATGCTCTAAATCACTACTGATTTAGAGAAATGCAAATCACAACAACTCTGAGGTACCACATCACACCCATCAGATTGGCTAACATGACAAAACAGGAAAATGATAAATGTTGGAGAAGATGTGGGAAACTTGGAACACTAATGCATTTGTTGGTGGAGTTGTGAACTGATCCAACCATTCTGGAGAGCAATTTAGAACTATGCCCAAAGGGCTATAAAAATGTGCATACCCTTTGACCCAGCAATAGCCCTAAGATATCATACAAATGGAAAAAGGACGCACATGTACAAAAATATTCATAGCAGCTCTTTTTGTGGTGACAAGAATTGGAAACGGAGAGGATGCCAATCTACTGGGGAATGGCTGAGCAAGTTGTGGTATATGAATGTAATGGAATACTATTGTGGTATAAGAAATGACGAACACGCTGACTTCAGAAAAACCTGGAGAGACTTCTATGGACTGATGCTGAGTGAAGTGAGCAGAACCAGGAGAATGTTGTATACAGTAACAACCATGTTGTGTGATGACTAACACTGACAGACTAAGCCCTTCTTGGTGATACAACGATCAAAGACATCTCCAAAGTCTCATGATGGAAAATGCTATCCACATCCAAAGAAAGAACTATGGAGTTTGAATGCAGATCGAAGCATACTGTTTGCTCTTTTTTTTTTCCTTCTGTTTTGTTTTGTTTCCTCTTTCTTGCAGTTTCTCTTATTGGTTCTAATTCTTCCTTACAACATGACTAATGTGAAAATGTTTAATAAGAATATGTATGTAAAGCCTATATCAGATTGCGTGCCATCATGGGAAGGGAGGGGAGAAAAATTTTAAACTCAAAAGCTTATGAAAGCGATTGTTGATTTAAAAAAAGAACGTATGCTGTTTGAGGAGGGACTGACTCATTTTCTGGTTTTTGTATCCCTAGCACTTTTCACAGGGCCTGGCACACAGGAAGAGTTTAATAAATGATCAGTAATTTCTGTATCTAAATTTGGGTGGAAATGCAGTACACGAGACTCTATTGTAATGCTAATACACCAAACAGATATACTCAAACAAGAATAGTATTCAACGTACTGGCTATTCACTAATACGTGAAAATGAAGGCTCAAAAATACTTTCTAATTTGGCATAAAAAATATTAAACTCAGACCTCCTGAAGTTGGTTTTTCTAGCTGTAAGTCTTCTCGTGTTGAATTGAGAAGTTCATGCCTGAAAGGTGAAAGAAAATAACAATGAATGAACAGGACAAATTTACAAAATTAATTAGTATTCAAGTGTCAAAGCCTAGTAATAGAAAAAATAATCTGGACTCCTAGTATTTAGGCCAAAGTGGATACTTAACTCAAGATGGCTGAACAAAGTAACTAAGTCCAAATGGTAAATTACTAAGTCTCATCCGTCATGTCATTTCACAAATGTCCAGATCGTAGAGAGAACTTCACAAGCCAAGGTTTTCTTTAAAGCATAAGGAGGTGTCAATGAAAGGACCTAAAAATGTCTCTATCCAAAATGTAAGACTTGTTTTGGCTTCTCTATACCTAGCCATGCATTTCAGTGTTCTCATTATGTCAGGAAAATATTACATCATTCATATCACATCAGGAGACATGCTCAGCAATATTTTTAGAGAGCCAAACTCTAACTATCTACTTTTAAGCCTGGCTTATTTCCAGAAGATGCCCCTCAAAATCCTAAAATAGCTACTGAGTCAATCTATTCAGGCCCAGAGTTTGGATGAATTAAATAAAGACTTGCGTGCCACATTACTTGCATGAATTGAAGGCGAGAGTCCACGTAAAATTCCATTATAGCTTGAATCATTTACATTAGAGATCATCCTTAAGCACCATGGATAAATAAAATAGTTTGACAGACGTTAAAGATGATGGAGAACAAAACATGAAATACTAATAGGAATGAATGAGGTTTGAAATGGTTTAAGGAAAAGAGTGGGGTATTCAAGGGAAACCCCAAAGTTATGTCTCCACCACTAACCTATAAAACTGGCCTTCTAGGTAAGGAAAACATACAGGTCCATCTTTATCTTAAAGAACATCTAGCAATGAAGTATTTCTCTGGCCCGAGAGTCAACACCTGTACAAAGGTTTGACTATGAAAGCACTTTAGATGCCTTATCAGGTTCTAGTGACAACTCAATGAGGTGGACTGTACAAACAGTTTTATCCCTCCTTTGCAATTAAGCAAACCAAGGAGGAAGCACTTAATAGGCAAAAGGGCCAGGATCTGAATCCAGGTCACCTGAATCCAAATACAGGAGTCTTTCTAGAACACAATAGCCCTTCTAAAATATAGATCCAATTTTTTTCAACAATGATTTCTACAGTCAACTACAAAATGTATGTGACAGAAGTATGTAATTCCAGACCATTCTTACTTCTTAATCACAAACCGAATCCTCTCTTTTGCAAGTAATATCCTCTCCAGACGAGGAATTCCATAGGTAGAGGGCCTTCGAAAAGGAATCCCTTCAGGCAGTCCTTCCACGTACAGGTCCTCAACATGAGACTGGAAGAGGGGGTAAGGGATGGCCACCGGGCCTTTGGCTTTTATAGCTTGAGCTTTAAAGAAAAAGATACTCAGGTCAGAGTATATCAACACGCAGCTGTCTACAAGCGTCAAGAGAAGACACCAGCTTGTTGGCACCCACGCAGTGCTGGGGAATATCAAGAGGCTGGGCCTGCTCAGTGCCACACCATCAGTTTTAGGGGGTTTAATGCAGACGTGGCTGGTGTTCTGGGCTCAAGCAGCCTGCAGATTCAAAACACCGTTAGACGAGGCCAATGCTGGAGGAGGTATGTCAGCACAAGTCCCATTTTAGTTTTTAGATTTACAAAGAGCTTCTTTTTTCTTAGTGGGATGACAGCAGTAACGAGCATCCTGTACCAACTGGGAAACAAAGAACGGGGGCAAGTGTTTATATTATTAGAAAACGTGTAAGATTCGCTTGGCAATCTTATTTTTACCAAGCATTAAAATACAGCAGTTCCTACATTTAACATTCAGGGTTCGTGAAAATGTCCTTAATTTGTTTTCCCTTGAAATAAGCCATTTTAAAATAATCCTTATTATGCAAAAAACAACCCTGCAGATCACCGGATTTCCCAATATGCACATTATGCTCTTTCAAAGAGGCCAACCACGTGTGACTGTCATCACATGGGACTTTCCTCTAATTCTCGACAATGCCAAGAGCTTTCTGGTTAGTGAGATGTGTACAAGGACCAGATCTTCCTGTTCCTAAGCCTTATTTCAACTCCCCTGCTTTGTTACTGAGTAGGCAGTTTTATCACACACTGCCACCACTCACATAACTCGTTTATTTCAAATAGAAATATCCTGATGGTAACATTTACTCATCAAGATGTTTACAGCGTTCAAAATGTCGGAGTATAATCCAATATCACAATTGCTGACTTAGCTTTAGAATAACGGTGGTTATCTTTACTGGTTATTTTCATATCAAAGAAAAACGCTACAAAACTCTCCAATATAAGGCAGTTTTAAAAACAATCGCAAGCTTGTAATATACTAGGACAGCTTTGTTAACAAAAAAAATCATTTAAAATATTTTAAATTATGTTATTTTATAAAGCAAAGAACAAATTTTAATTTTTATCATAATTCAGTTCAATATAAGTTTTACTTGAGTTTATGTAGAAAGGATTTGAAAAGGGAAATGAAACAAAAACAGCAAATGAATTACTTTTTTTCTCCTTTTCACAAAATTTATGTATGAAAGTAAGTCATAAGTTTTGATTTTCAATTCCCTCAATAAGGACAGAAGTGATACTCAGACACTGTAAACTCTTTTCCATAAAGAAGATGGCATTTTAACGTCTCCAAAAGGTTACAGAGTAAGCATTGTTGGAAAACAATTATTTTCACAAAATAACACCAGACAAGCTGATCAAGCAAAACAAACCAAAAACCAAACCGCTTTTAAAAAACGAAGAGATGACTTCATTCGCTAGCTCAGAATTTCATTTCACATTTCATTCAGATAACAGATTGTATCTGATTGTGAGTCGCAGGTATTCCTTTTAAAGGAAACATCCCTGGTTATTCAAATGTAGTAAGTAGATTCTCCGTGCTGAAAGGAATCTATTCATGGTGTTTTATACTCTCATGTAGTTAATGTTTCTTGTCAGCTATCAAATGCAAAAGAAAGATTTCTCTGACCAGAAACTGCTCAAATGTGGAAACTCAGACAGGGAGCACCTCACATACTGTGCTGCAGCTGACCTGTTCTTAGGTGCAAAGATAGGAATTGCTTCTTTCTGGCATAGTAAAACCAGTAAGACACTGGCATCTTTTCTTTCATAAAAGACTCTCTAAAATGAACTTCCTTCATCTTTACCAGTCTCTTATCCCATATAGGAAGCAGTCCATTTGTTAGGGAAATGCGCTGGCCAGCAACTCTAATTTAGCCTCCTAAATGTAACAAAGGCCCACCCACCAGGATTCTCAGACTTTAGCCCCTGCTGAGGGACTCCCAGCATGAAGTCAAAAAGAAATGGCCCAGTCCTGCCAGAGCCAAAGGGACGCCTCTCCCCGCCATGTGTAAAAATCAGCCTTCGCAGCTTAGACATACCGTATTTTCTTTCAAACAATTCTTCGACCTGTTTTCGTAGATCAGTAATTCGAGCATTCCATTTCTCTGAAAATGGAGAAATGCTACATCAGAACATGAGAGAATGAGCCTTAACCAAGTCTAGTAGGGTAAGATGCATAATCCCTCCCCTCCTGTGCTAGTCCTAAAGCAATTATCTAACAAGGTGAATATGATGAAAATGACACCTCCTAACACCAAGGATTTCTGCTATACTTTCTCATAGGTCCTTGCTTTTCTACGCTAAATTGGCCCAAGTCCTCACTGGAGGTGAAAAATGCAGGCAGAAAGGACTATGGCATGTGTACAAGGTTTCAAATGCCCAGTTTCATGAGGCCACTAGGGTTAGATTCCAATTTCCTAACTCCCAGGTCAGTTTTCTCTGTTATTTTAAACAATGTCTTTCTCCTATGCAAATGTATTTTAAAATAAAAGGATGTTATGACCTACTTAGTTAACACACAGTAATTTCCTGTAAGAAGAATATGTGATGAAATATTTAAAGTATTCTCTCCAAACTTGTGAAAAGGCCAAAATATTTTTTTTAAATACAAAAACATGTTATGCTAAGTACACAAATGGTTTCCTTTCAGTTGCTTAACGGGGTGTCATTTATCAAGAAGCAAAACATTTGGTATGTAAAAATGACATACAACGAGGAAATGGTGAAATGCAGAAATGGTTTTTAAGTTTAACGAGAAGATTTCCATCACTTAGAAATACTAATTTCCAAATGAAGCAGTCTGACATTTTCTGACACCAAGGCTATCAGTGGGGCCTTATAATGCAAGATATCCAAATTCAACACTTCATGCTAAAGAGGAGAAACCAACAGGCTTGGGAATGGCTGCATTTTCACAACTCCTATAAATGCATTTATGCCTATAATGCCTTTCTCTCTTTCTGTCACCAAATTTAAGGCAAATTCAAGTAATCTGGGGCAATAAACCTGATGAAGTCTTAAGACTGATAATCATAAAAAACTAATATGAAAAATACTACTTATATGTAAAAGGCACTTTTATATAAAGTGGTTTCAGGACCAAAAAATATTGAGTTTGCTACAATTCCTGGCGAATCTCTTCTAAAAAATACTTCGGTTCACCACTTTTGGTGTATGTCTGCTTAACAAAGCAGGCTGCCCTAAATCCAGAGATGACCATTCAAATGGACTAGGGGTAATTTAAAACTGCATATAACTGAAAAAAGCCAAACTATTCCGGCAAAACAAAACTGCTCAAGGCCACGCTAAATGGTCAGGTTCTCATCCCAAAGGAGATCGTGCTTCTTCCCAGAGAGAGTTGTCTGTCTTACTCAAGTACTAGGGGGCATCAGCACACAGGGGTGCCCTGCAGCCTCCACGTGACTTGGTCGCTGGTCTGAGACTGGTCCCGCATAAGCCTACATGCGCATCCTGCATCAAGCAGCTCGCCCTGCAGAGGTCAGTCCATCCCTTTCAGGCTTTTCCACAGTGGTCCCCTCAGTGCTCCACAAGAAGGAGCCAGCTCTGACAGCCATGACTGAAACTGACCAGGAGCAAGAGTGCCTTGGCCTTCATCCTCACTCCCTCTCCCTAGGTCAGATGAGTGAATGTCTAGTCATTTCTGCCTTAGATTGTCAAAACATATTTCTACTAGGTAGGAGGCAATTGCTCTTCAGGGCCTCCAAATGCTTCCGAAGGAAAAAAACCAGCTTTCATAAGCCTGAAGTATGCTCCAACAGATGGGGACATTCTCGCGCCTCTAATGTGAGGGAATGCTGGAGCTGGTTTTCCAAAAGATTATTCTGTAACAAGAACTTCGAATGTGCAGTTCAGAGAATTCTACATGTGCTTAATCCACTTTTCTTCCCACAACCCAAACAAAGGAAAAGAAATTAAAAAGAAAACCACAGAACTGTTTCAATGTAAAACTTACCGAAATTGAATTCCCTCACTTTTCTTTTTCCAGCATTGGCCGCCTCGTTGACTGGCTCAGTGTTCTTTGGTTTCTTGCTGGGTGGTGAATAGTCATCATCTTAAAAGGAAAAGAGAGTGGTCATTGCTGGAAGTGTCCAGAAATTTAGAAATCCAAGGATAATAAAAAGGCACCCACAATTTAAAAACTGTCAATTCATGAGAAAACATGCTACTTTTTGAAGCTGTTTCAAATGCAGCGTTAGTCATGTTTTTATTTTCCTAATTCACAACTTTAAAGCTCCCATAGCCTCCAATTTTCCCGGGTCTGGATTGTGAACTTTCAAATGGCTGCAAATGGTCAAATCTAGTTTCCTGACAGCAAGCCCAAAAAAGTGTAACAAAAATAGAGGATGACAATGATGGGCAACTAAAGCTAACATCATTATCTTTTAGTCGTCAAATGGAGTTCCGATGAACTAACTGTTCTTGGATGTTACCGTTTGCTGAACAGATGAATGTTCTGAAAGAGGCAGACCCTAAAAGAAACATTCTGGGAGAATGACCAAGTTGATAACCTTTGCAAAGCAGACTACCTTTAACAGCAGGGAAACGTCTACGTGTCTAGTGTCTATCAGTATTTATTTTAATATTTCACTATTGCTTTTTCTCATTTTAAAACTAAAAACCACCAATGTTTTCCTACCAGGCCCAAAACCCCTTTACTTCAATGTTTAAAGAACTGGAGCTAAGCCCTTATCCTTCAGAAGGCTCTAGCTCACACCCTTCTATTGAGATGGGGTTTACAACTTTGTGAGCCCCAGACACAGTGCCTCACTCAGGCCTCAGGGATCCTTTTGCTTGGGTCAGGTCTATCTTTCCCTTACCTCAAAAAAGCCCCAAAGATTTTAGGGGTTGGGGGTGGGGGCCAAGTACCCAGGAAAACCCACAGAGCTCCATACCAGGTGTGACTGAAGCACCCTGCAGGAACAGGCATAACAAATTAGTGCCTGAGGATAGTTCTATGTGCTTATACATAAAACACGACTACAAAACCAAATTTAACTGCAGAGACAAATAGAACCAAATCTGTTAACTAAACAGAAGTGGTATTTATCTGACAAAGAATTAGTGACCTAGAAGTCACAAAGGAAGTAATGAATATGGACTAAACAGAACAAATGTACATCCTTCTAAGAGGTAAAAAGGCCCTCAGGGGCAACCTTGCTCCACCAATAAGATTTGGGACCTTCAGGGATGGGGAAGCGCTCCATCTCCAAAGGCAGCACATTCATTTTTTTTGGAGAGCCTTTTCCTTATCTTAAGCCTAAACAGCCCCACCAACTTCCAATTCATGCCCTATGGGGCCAAATAAAATAAGGCTAATCTCATGGTCACATGACAGCCATTCAAACACTCCAAAGCAGGCCATCAAGTCTTTCTTCTTCAGGTTTCTTTGTGAGAAAAAGTTTCCAACCTGGAAGATTAAACAAAAGGTGACCTCCAACATCATTCAAGAGGTTGTGAGTGGGAGGGCTGCCCTTCCCAGTTCTCACCTTCTCTCTTCCTTGGACACTCCTTACTTAGCCTCCCCTCCAAGTGTCAGAGAGGGAAGAGGGAGTTCCCACACTTAAGGATCACAAATGTTCTTCTTTAGATTCACATATACTCCACCTACTCCCTTGCCCCACAGCAATTTCAGGTGAACAAAAGCAGTTTTTGCAAATTCCCAGTTCAGTGGTTAAAAGGAAAGTTAACACTAGTTAAACTAGACAGATATCTTCACTAGGACAAATACTCCTGAAAAATAAGGGAGGCAAAATTTAAAATCAAAATTCATCTCAACATTTAAAAGAGTCTTTACCTAATCTAAAATTCCTTCCACTTCTAACCTATTACAATTTTTATAATTTAACAGTAACAATTTAATTTTTTTATAAATTTAAAGTAACTTGGTAAGAATGGGGCCTGGTAAGGATGGGAAATGGGGCCTGAAGGGAACTAAAAGACATAAAATGGCCTACTGCAAGTTCAGAACTCAGAAAATGGCAACTCCAAGAAACACAAAGAACAGAAGGACAATGAAATGACAGCTGCAGGACAGCCTGAGATCACCACAGAACTCTCCATTCAGGTTTGAATTAGCTCCAATTTGAGGTCAAGAAATAGGAGTGTGGGGAAGAAGAGGAAGAGCTTTATGTAGGCTCCCTTCAATGCTTCTGAGAAAGAAACTGTCAGCTGCTGGGTAAAGAAAGAAAAAAAGCAGGGCATGAGAAAAGCCATACTTTCTACCAAGAGCTGTCCATAAATTTACCCCACAATGACATTCATTTAAAATACCCTCAAGAGAAATATGTGCTCAAGTAGACAGATACCCCGAAATCCACTGATCTAAAATTCAAGGATGGCCCAAGACAAGATTGTATAATAACAGACATGGTTGGTAGCATCACACTGTCTTGGAAAAGGACAAGAGACCCAAAGTTCACACGTGCTACAATGGGAAGACAGTCTAAAGCAATGTGATGATGAAATGCCAAATGATGTTGGGCTGGGAACTGTCTTCCACCCACTAATCCTGGGAGTCCCCAAAGGCTCTGTCCTAGTCTCTTCTCTTCGCCCTCTCTACTGTTTCTCTGGGTGATCTCATCAGCTCCCATGAAATCAATGATCATCTCTATGCTGATCCAGCCCTAACCTCTTTCCTAACCTCCAGTCACACATCTCCAAATGCCTACTGAACCGAGTCCTAGAGACACCTTTAATGCTACAAGTCCAAAAGTGAACATTATCTTTCCCTCCACCTCCGAACATCCCTGTTATTGTCAAGAGTGCATCATCCGTCCAGTTACCCATGCTCACAAACAAGATGTCATTCTCTCTCGCCAACCCCAACTTGCCTACCTCCACCCCGTACTCAATCTGTTGCCAGGGTTTCTTCTCGTCTTTTGACATTGGTGCCAGCCTGGCAGAGGTCTTCGTCACCTCAGCCTTGAATTGCTGCCCTACCACAGAACGGGATCCCTGGCTCCAGTTTCTCCCCAATTCCGGTCCAACCTCCACGCCCTTGGTAAACTGATCTTCTAAAGCAGTTCTGATGACACATTCTCACCAACTCCCCCACAAGCTCCAGTAGCTCACTATTTGCTGCCAAGGCCAAGTATACAAAATCCTGCCAGGCTTTGTTTAAAGCCTGTGGGCATTTTCTCCTGCACCCGGAATTCTTTCCCTTCTCCTTTCTTTCTCCTGGCCTCCCGAGCTTCCTCTAAGACCCAACAAAAAATCCAAGCACTTCCCAATCTCCTTTAATGCGACCTTCTTTCCTGAGCTGATTGCTTCCAATTTCTCGGTTTACATCTTCTTTGCACACACAGCTGCTGGCATGGTGTCCCTGTTAGACTGGGAGCTCCGGGACAGCAGAACTGGTTTTTACCTCTCTTTGTATTTCTAAGTGCTTAGCACAAGACCAGGTACAGAATAGTTGCTTAATAAATCCTTGAATGGGACAGGCAACTCATCTGTAATTATCATCTTGGACGCTTAGCTGGGGCAACGAGAGGTGGAATGATTGGCCCTTGGTCCAAGTACTTATGTGTCACAGATGGGCACCGAATCCAGGTCTTCCTTACTCCCTGGACACCTCTCTTTAGAGTCTCTAAATAAACAATGCTGCTCAAATTATATTATCCAATTAAAGATCAATTTATTAGTTGTCTGGTTCATCATTTGATTTGTAAGTCTTAGTCAAAGGCGAGTTGCCCATATTAAAATTTAAAAGGCCACACAATTCCCCTGGCTGGGCACCAGTCTCAATCCCAAGTTAGAATGTTTATCAGCATTTCAAAGCAGGAACTGTTCAGGAACTGAAGTTTATTAAGATGGTGCACTCTCACAATTCGGGGTACTTAGGGAGTCTCATGACCCTTTCCGAAAAGGCCGGAAGTTGCTGGTTTCTCTCTTGTATAAAACTTCCAAAGGTCTGACCTTTGAAACAACCAGATTCAGCTTTGTTGTTGCTGTTGTTGTTTTTATGACAACTGTCATAATACCACAGAAATTCAGAAATGGAAGTGACCAAAGAAACTTCTCCTAAGTCTGCATCACCCATTACAGAGAGCCCCACACTGCTATGACTGCAGTCACGCGGTTATTAAGTTAATGAGAGTCCTGGGAAGTAACCTGGATCTCCAGGCTTCTTATCCAATTCTATTTCACCAAATGTGAAGAAAACAACAACAACACAACAACAACTTTCTGATGAATGGCTACTGACTTCAAGTGTCATTATTGAGTTATTTTAACAATTTAAGACAGGAGCACAGAGCTACGAGGCCAAAGGTTCATATGGAAGCAGCTCCACGGACACTGACTGAACATTGCAATGACTTTTCCTAAAGAAAAAAGGTAGAAAAAGGAAGGGAATGGAGGGACAGATTTCAAGTGGTTCGAAGAAACAACTTCCCTAATTTCAAGACTACTCAAATAAATCTGTAACTGGATCACAGCCAGGAAAGAATCTAAAGTATAATTCTGGACTAACACATCTGTTCTGCCTTAGAGACTTTCTCTCCATAATAAACCTTCCGGTCAAGGTACACTCACATTAGTAGAACAAGAGGAGAAGTTTTTTCTGTCCCTTCATGCTATTCATATTTGACATAATAAGATTCTTCAAGATCCCAATACTATGTGTGGCACAGAAACACCAAGTTATAATTAAAATAAAATGCAAAATGTAACATATGGCAGTGAAACACACTTGACATTGTAATCATTACAAATTCAGTCAATATTAGCTTATTCATTCATACTTTTCCTGCATCTTTCAAATACATGGAACATTTTTTCCACTGTAATTACTCTTAAAGTCTGAAACCCTCTGAAATTCCCATTTTATAAAAACCAACTGGCTGCGTCTTTCCTTGATTGTTCAGCAGACATAGAAACGACAAACACAGAATTCTCAACAACTGACAACGAAATTACATCCATCCTAACTATGAGCCATCACAAAACCCTTCCAGGATGAGGGCTGCCATATCTTAAATATAGTGATGCCTATCACATGTCCTGCTGGCTTATCCCACCTTACATACCTGAAAGAATGCGGATGGAAACTACCCGCACACACAATCAATTTTTATACACTACCACCACTCAGAATAGGAATAATGGGTCTCCAATCGTCACAATGAGGGTGACATGACACCTCTTCAAATGAGGGGCTTCTTTCTGGCCAACCTGAGAAAGCATGTCCTAGAGGATGACTGCACAGCTCTGACAAATACTTAAACTAACTGGAGACTCAATTTCGAGGTGGTGTCACCAGGTGGCTCTGAAGTATACAGTCCCTTTTTTTCTATTCTTAGGCAAATGCACTCTAGAAGAGCTGGTCAATTACTGCAGGAATGGGCGTCAGAGGCCACCAGGGAGACAAGTCAAGACATCAGCCTATATTTGCTTCCAGTAATGGAAAAATAAGTCAAAGGACATACTTTACTGACAGTGGATTTGTATATGAAGGACAGTATATTGTTGATATCATTGTTAAATGTATCTGATGAAGTCTCTCAAAAGAGTTTTTTTAAAATGTTATTAAAAACATAAGTTCTTATAAGTAATTAATAAGCTACTAGACTAGTATTTGTTTCTAAAACTTAACAGGCTTGAGAACATTCTAAGATTTAAAAAAATCACAAATGTTACATATGAAACTAGAATGGCCACAGTCTTGAACTGTGTCTCAGGCTGACATCAGTTGTGTTTGTTGGCAAGTGTCCAGAACCATTTTGCTTAAGTCAGCAATCTGGTTTGGCTAACTGATGCCAACCCAAGGGCTGGCACTCAGCCAACCTTTGGAACAGGTCATTTTCAAAGATCAGCTAAATTCTGACCTGTCACTTTGGTCAAGCTGGTGCTATCTGGACATCAGATCTAACAAACAATATATGACTAGCTAATCCAGGAGATAGCTCGCTCCAGCAGTTTAGTCTGAGGAAGGCTCTAAGAGGCCTCTGCTGATGGACAATCTGCCCTCAAAGGACCAGCCTAGCTATGTTCAGAGGAGCCCACGATCTAAGGTCAGCCACCAAACCAAAGCAAAACCACAAGGGGCTGGTTGTGATCTGCATCTGGGAAGTTGCACCTCCACGGATGAAATCCAAGTACCGGCCCTTGTCCAACAACAATAAATGCGGATGCTGAACATCATATCAGGTGGTCAGTTGTGTGGCAACCTCAGGCATGAAACACACGCACACACACATGTACGCACAAGTAACAGGATAATGTTTCAACACGTTCTAAAAGCACTGAGAAGATGGGAGTTCACAGATTCCTTTCTGGAAGACCTCATCCTTCCCCCAGATCAGAGTCTGCAGCTCTTGTGTGGACTGGACGGCGGCACCGAAAGCCAGCTAGTAAACTGTTTTCTCACCCTGGTCAGAGCTGCCATTGAAAGTGGTAACAGTCACCTCCTTGTCCTGTCTCTGCCTTCACTCAGCTCAGTCTACACACAATGAAAGGGCTAGCCACAAATGTTATGCCCTCATCATCATTAAGCCAGGGAGGCCTTGGATTATTAAAACAAAACACTCAAATGAACTTCATCATTCACTCCCTTTTTAAAAAGATCAGTCAAAAATGAAAAGGAGAGAATGTAATTCGAATGTATTTCAAGTCTTCCCTATCTTTTTTAAAAGAAATACGAAGTCAGTTTGCTTGTGGAGTTTAAGCTAGTAAGTCAAAATATTTGCCATTTCTAGGAATATTTCAGCAATTTTATCTTTAAAAAACTAGCAACAGATTCACTTGGCGCTCATTTTAAATTTCTGATGGTGTTAAAACCGTAAAAAAAGTAAGGGACCGTACCCTAAGGCAGAAAGTTTCCAGAGTCAAGGGTCTTTTAGCATGCAGTCTGGGAACAGCCCAGAGTGGACTTTGGCATGACTGACCCAGATCCAAGTGTGTGCTTGGCCTCTGGCTTACCATTTTTGTGTATCCCTGGTTTACCCTGGTCTGCCTTCTGCTCTGCCCCGCCCTCAGGGAGGCACACAGGGTCCTTTCTGCAGCCCTCATTTCCTAAAAGTTCTTGACTCTTCTCCCCAGACCCTGCTTTCAGGGTTCTGGACGGCTATCTATATTAAGAGAACACATTCTGTCAGGTTAGGTTTCCAGTAATCAGAATATTTGTTGTCAATGACCAACCCAAATATTAGCTGGGAGGCTCACCTACAGTTGGCTGGTCACTAGGTGATGAATATCTTGGACATGGTGACGTATCAAACAGATTAAAAAAAAAGGAATGATAATTTTGTTTTGAGAGGGAGGCAATCGAGGTTAAGTGACTTGCCCAGGGTCAACTGTAGTGTCTACTAATATTTGAGACTGAGTTTAAACTCAGGTCCTCCCAACTCCAAGGCAGGTGTTCAATTCACTTTGCCACCTAGCTGCCCTGGGAATGATAATTTTTAAAATTGCTCTTAAATACAGGTTATTTGCCAATAGCTGCAACCTTACTAATGTTTTAAAAATTTCTTTTAAATTATAAGCCAAGAAGATACTGATTAAAATAATATTTTTTTTTCCCCCTGAGGGTGGGGGGGTGGGGAGGAGAGTAGAGATCTGTGATTCCGTTGGCATACTCCCTTTCTGGTGAGGAAATGCCTTTCTTTCTATTAGTGTAGATCATCAGCTGTTTTTCTACTTACAGTCTCAGGTGGGGCAAGCAGTGGATCAGAGCTGACTCCAAGGAAGGACACCCTCCACCTCGCTAACTTCCCTAATTCTGATGGGGCTGGGGGGAGGGGCAACAAAGAGGGAGAGAGAGAGAACTCTCTTCCTGTGACTGTCCCATAAAGGACATCTCTGATGACACTTTTTACACAGTCTGTTAATGATAAATGTTTCTCAACTACTTGTTAAAGCAAGTAGATCCCCTACCTGGATAAATTCCAAAGTATAAGACTGTTTTTAGTGATTTTCGGTAAAACTCTTCATTCAGACTGTTCTCCTCCAATCTGTCTAAATTAAGTCCAGTTTCACTGACTGTTAGAAGCATGCAAAAACAAAGCTGAATGGGGAACTCTGAGACCAGGAACAGTGGGTGTCGGGGGAAAGAGAGACACTGAGGGAGACAATGTCATTTGGAGACACCAAGCAACTCGCTGATCATTTCAAACTCATGCACTTTAATCTGGTCTAGGGCAAGCACAGACTGCATCCCAGCTTCAACAGCACCCATTTCGAGTCCGTCACCTGCCATCCACGTCTGTCCTTCACGAATGCCAAGGCCTCCTCACCTGACAACCCAGGTCCTTGAAGGCCACGTGAACCAAGCACAGGACCTCGAAGGGCTGTCTCGGCTGAGTCACAAAAATGCATGTGCATGCAAAAGCTCAGCCAGGGGGATGGCACAACTGTTGTCACAGCCTCAACCTCTGTCAATTTGGCTCCAGGAACCCTTAGAGACCGTTTGCCAAATTACAAAAGATTGTCATCTGTGCCACAAAATGATGCACCCAGAGTGAGTAGTTCTTAAAGATCACCAATCTTTCAAAGGTGCAGTGATATTTTTGAGATCTCCTCTGAGCTACAGCTATAAGCAATATTGCTTTAAAAGAACAAACATGGAGGGGTCATCTTATGAAGGAGACTAAGGTAAGTATTATAAAACGGAGCTCCAAAGAGACATATATACATATAAATACACACATCTCTTCACTTAGTTAAAAATACTTTGAGAGTAAGAAGAAAATGCTAAGAGATTATGAGTCTGCTGCAGTATTTGCAAAGGTTGCATGCAATCACTTAATGAACAACCAGAATTTCTTCTTAGAAAAAGATCTCTAATCTCCCCGTTGTACTCTACATTAAGAGATGGAATGATGTGGTGAAGTACAATCTAGTCACGTTTCTGGTTGTGGTTAGGATTTTGGCTTGTTCAAAGGATGGTTTCTTTTAGGTCCAACCTGTGGGCTGATGCCAATCTGCATGGCGTAGAGACGAAAATCCCACAGCATTGGGGTGCCCCTCATGGCAGGCAGCCTGCGTTTGATCACACATACACACTTACAGAGTCCAATTTTTTCCAAACATCCTCTCAAAAGAATGAGATGCATATTTCGCAATGTGAATGTGACAGGTCTTCTATGGCTAGAGTCAAATTGTTGAATTAAGGCTTTTAGACAACTAACCTTCAATAGTCACCTCAACTTCAGGGTCCTCACTTGTTTCTGAAGGGGCATGCTGGGTAGAATCTTGAAAAAAATAAAATTCTAAAATGACATTCATTATTAAGCATTCTCCACATTTCCCAACATTTTCCAGATTTGATATTCAAACAGCAGCCTTTCCTGAAAGCCCACTGACATTGTAATGTATTTTCTACACACTATTCATAAATCTAAACAAAAAGATTTGTTCATAAGCCTTTTTAGAGGCATAATGGGGGGGGAGATGAGAAGTAGAGATTTCCAGATTCTAACAAGTGCAGAGATGCTTTCATTAATGTAGTCAGCAAATTTTTGTTACTGGTTTAATAGGATTACCATAATCACAGATATTTTCCCATTGTCACCACATGGATTACTAAAGCTATAAAAACAAATCTTTCTTCCTTGTGATTGATATTTTCCCTCATCTTTCTTTCTTAAGATAGGAGTGATTTTTATTGTTATTTAACAATTTCTTGTGACAACACATTATAATGTCAAGAAAGAAGAATTATGACAAATACATGTAGTACCTCTAGGGAGAAAAAGGCTTAAATAAATGACAGTAAAATAAATAGCATCAAACAAAACGTTTAAAGGTCCTATGGATACTCCATAGTGTGGCTAGTTAAATTCAGATGGACACAACTGCACTACTATGAACTGAACGAAATACAAGTCAAATTCCATTATAATGAAATCCTGCCTAGATATAATGAGAGAGAACCTTTCCAGAGAGCCTGTGAGTGGCAGTGAATGACAACATTCCAACACAATGGAATAATTTCGGTCCCCCCCTCAAAGGTGATTATAATGGCATCTGACCTGTATGTCTCTCCCTCCATGTCTACACTGGCACCCCCAGGGTCAAAGTCGAGATACTTTCACACATTTAAGAAGTTAACTTCCACCACCTGACCTCGCTTGGCACATCCTTCTCGTTAACATGATGGCATGTCAACAGGAAGAGACTCAAACTACCACTTGAAGGGGCCTTCTTTAAGTCAATTCGCCTGCCAGGGAGCTGGGCAGTTTCCCCCAGAGGACTTAGGAGAGTGTTGGAAGAAAGAGAAAAGAAAAAACAAGGAAGTAAAAAGGTGAGAATGTCAAAGCAAAACCGGCCTCTTTGTCCAAAAAAAGTAATCCCGCAGGCCCCAGTTTTCCAGTGAGAAAATGATTACCAAAAATTACTCCGAGAGTCAGACATCTCGGCAAATAGCTGAAAACATGCCTGGTGGCTGCCTCCGGGAGGGAGAGAGCCTACAGATTTCTAAGAAGAAACTCTCTCGACTAAAAAATAAAAATAAAACATGAAAGAGAATATCATCAGTTTGGAAAAGGCTCGTCACTAGGTTGTGAGCTCAAGAAATCAAACAAACTGCAGGGCCAAGAGAAAAAAGTGAATAATTTATCTGTCCTCAAAGCAGGTGGTAGACTTCTAAACTGCTCCTCTGACAGAAAACGTTTATGTCTGTATGGTATGTTCTTAAAAGCTGGAAAATATCCTTTATTCATGTTGTCATTTACACTCAGAAATCACTCTATGATCACAGGAAGATCTAAACATGATACACAAGGCTGAAATATCGGGGAAAGGGTTCTTTAATTTAAACTGCCCTTTTTCCAAGAATCTTTAAATTCAAGCCCATAAGATAAACAGTTCTAGTTTTGGGATGTCCCATTATAACTGGAAGATGAGGTAGGTGAGCAGGGACAACAGAAACATGAGAATCATCAACAAATTTCTACTTACCATTAAGCTTTTCATCCCCAACTTGCTTAAGTGGTCCTACATTCTGTCCCCATTTAAGATCAGAATATTAACAGATTAGTTATGTGACCTGTACCACAGTCACCACAGATGCTAGAACTAGAGCCCAGCCTGCTGCTGAGGAGTCAGGCTGGAAAGCTACCTTTAGGGTCAAATATCTGATATTTGAAGGCAAGAAGTCTCAGGCAAATAATCAGCAAAATACAATTTTTTTTTTAACAAAAAGCTTCTCATTTTTCTAACCTTCCACTGGTAATTCCATCTCTGTTCCTTCATTGCCCTCCGAAGAATGATGGCTTCCTAAAATGAAAGTAAACACTCTATAATAAAGTGATTTAAAAAAAAAAAACTTCATACCCTAAAAATTCAATTAAATATTTGCAATACAAATAACTCAGAACCTTCATGCAACTTCCAAGTAAAACAAGTATCATCCGATTTGTATTTCAAAATTAAACTTTCCCCTTTCAATGCTTTTGTGAATGCATTTTATTAACAGTTTTTTGGTCATTCACCACCTGGCCCCAAACAGAAGGAAAAAATGGTCAGCTTCTGCTCTGTGAGTATAAAGACTGAATGCAAATTATTTTACTTTGTAATGATACTAAAAACTATGGCCAATTAATTACTAAGCAATGTTACATTCTAAAATTATCACATTTATAGTTCTAAGAAACAGTATTTATCATCTGTCAAAAAAGAAGGAAAACAAGTTTCTTCTTCCTTTGCTCAGGGTGAAACCTTGATGATAAAGTTTGGGTCACCACGTTTTCCTTCAGAGCTGCGAACCTCACCTGGTACCTTCTCTTACTCTCAAGTTCACAGAGAAGAATGCTACCCATTCAATGCTTTCAGCAGAGGGACACAGTCTGAACGTCCACACGGAACGTCACGTACTGCAAGTGTAAATCACCGACATGAAGGAAATGTCTGGTTCCAGGCTGAAGTCAGGACTATCGCCATCAGGGCTAAATCATCTCAGGGATCCAACAGAAGAAATCCGAGAAGGAAAAGCCCCTCGAGTGCCCATCTGGGTCTCCCTCTAACCCCCAGCTGTCCAAAAAGCCTCCGTGGCCCTGGGTCTCTTAGTCCTGACTTTACTCACAACCTCATCCCCTCTACTTTCTCTTCTTGCTTCATTCTCAGAGGTACAGCCCCAGTCAAACATAAATCTATAGAAGTATCACATACGTGTGTGTGTATGCATGTGTGCATGGGTAGACGTATACACACATCTACACATGTCTGCACATATGCATGTGGGTGTCTATAGAAAATTAATATGGGAAAGCCCAGTCTGCTTCTTTTCGAGTGTTTTAGAACACTTGCAATCACCTCTAATGTTATGCTAAAATGTTCATTTCTTCATGTCTCACAGATGTTATTCACAAGTGATTCCAACACCACACTTGAGGTTATGAGCCACGACTACCCAAACATGTCATTAGCTCTTTCTAACTCCCAAAAGGAGTTGGGATAACACATATAGGTACACACTAGACTTAAAATCTGTTTGAAATCTGACACGTTAGCTTGTGAAATACTAGGTTTTTAGGGTTGGTAGTGGTAACGAATAATGAAGCTAAGAACAGAAGAATGTCCTTTATAAAGATAAAAGAGAAAAAATATTTACAAGTACATCAACCCTTGCCTTGCTTACCCTCACAGAATTATTGTGAGGAAATAAGAAACAAAGACCCACTCTTGGGCCACTGCGACATAGGGCTCTCCTAAAAGAGTCAAAACCAAACACTTGGAAACAACAGAATGTCCGATTATATGAAAACTTAACAGTCAAGGTAACAATTCCTAGCTTATTTTCAAGTTCTTTGAAAGGCTTACAACATTATAATATCAACATTGACACTCCTAACGATACAAGTACCAGAGTTCCATCCACACCAATGTAAAATATAAGATACAGATATTGACATTCAAATAAAGTATGGCCCTTTATCCATAAAGTCTAATCAACATGGTTTCATCCTATGAAAAACTGGTATAACACTTTGAAAAAGTACTGGTCCCATACAAGTTTATTTCTATATATCTAAAAAAGGTTCTCTCTGTAATACATACAAGCTCTATCAACAGAGTGAGAGAGATCAACACAGCTCAATTTTTTTCCTTTTCAATTTAAGAAATTGTGAAAATTCAAATGGTGATATCACAGCACACTTTATGCAATATAAAAACTGGAACATTAATAAAAAAACTGAACATTAAAATATTAACACTGCTCTCTCTGAGAAACAGAAGAGAAAAATATCTACCTTGAAAAGACTTCGAAAGAGGAAGTTTTTCATCAACACCACCAGTTTCAGAAGGGCCTGCTTTGGAATACAAAGATAATAACTCAAACTGTAATCCCAAAAAATCTCTTTTGGGTCATTTAAGTCAACAAATTCAAATTTTTTTATATGAAACAACAGCCTTTTCATGAAGATAAAAGGCAAAAGAAAAAAAATAAATGGATGCACGAAAGATGTCAGTCCACTGAGTTATATTAATGGAACAAGTACATTCAGCCAAATTCATCCACAGAAACAGTCAAGACAATTTCTAAGTCCACACATTGTGACAATGAATGACAAGGAGACATATGGTGTGAATGGAAATGATACATAAAAGGATTCAACTAAAAAGGGTTAGTTTAAATAAGGTCCAAGTTGATTAAAGCAAAACAAATCTTAACTCATGCAGAAAAAGAAGCAATAGTCAATTAAACACAGCACCTGTTTATTCCATCAAAATCTTAAACAGTCCCAAGCAGATTGAAATGTTGATACTGTTATCTTAACTGAAATCGAAACATGTCAAACCAACATTACAATTTCCTTTTCTAAAAGCTGTACTTCTTTATAACACCATTTCAGAAAACATCTGAAGGACCCTTCACAAAATGATGTAAAATTCTGAGCATTTCACTAGTTTAAAGCACCTTATGAAAGTTACAATAAACTTAAAGACTTGGCTTTTAATAAGCACTTTGTTTTTTATTGGGGGAGGGAGAGAATGTCCAGAATTGCTAGTTTAACAAGGTGGGGAACTCCCGTGGTGGAGCCTCTCTACAGCAACAAAGACCAGCACGCATTCACCACCCGTGCATTTGCCACCCGAGGACTTGCATGTGAGGTTGAGTGACTTGCCCATAATCATACTACAAGGAGGTGTCACAGAATCTGACCCAAGGTCTTCCCAACTTCTCACCTCTTACTTCAATCCACCTCCCTCTTTACTTCTATTTTCTCCTATCTATGTACCCTCCAGCCACCTTAGGATCACAGGGTTACAGCTGGAGAGATCTCTGACCAGCAAGTCCAATATTCTCAATTTGATTTATCAATAAGGTCCAAAAGGTCACAAAGACTTTACTGGAAGCTGGAGTTCTTGGCTTGTGGTTCACAGACCATGGACAAATCAAATTACAAGAGATCTGTGAACTTAAATTAGAAAAAAAAATTCTATCCTTACCTTTACTAATATCTAATTGAAATGGAGCATTTCTTCCAAATATTTAAAACCATTATTCCGAAAAGGGCTTCCCTAGATCACCCCAGGGGCCCATCCAAGCCACCAAACAAGCTAAGACACTTAAGACACACACACGAGTTCACTATATACTAAAGCTTTTACAAAAATGAAACCAACTTGACATGGCATCCAGCATCAAATTCTTCAAATGGAGGATTGCCCCAGATACTTGGAATTCACTTGGGGAAAACAAACCAAAGATGCACCAAAGAGAGAAGGGAAATGCACAGAATTAGAAGGGGCTTTGATTTAATAACTCAGACATCTCATTTGGTTTCCATTAAGTATTCAAGCTTTTCTTTTAGCCCAATTTAAGTCAAGAAATATTTAGCCCAAAAGAGGATACAAAACTTCAACGGAAGCAAAGCTGGGTGCTAGGCCCCACTATTCCTCCTTCTCTTCCCCATCCAACCCTTCTGCCCCCCTTCTCCAACTTTTGCCAGCACAGAAAATTGTTAACTAAGATTTCATGGGACTTCACCCATAGGGTAGATGCAAAGTATACCAAGAATTTGTCAAAAGAGCAATCAAGCTGTGGAGCTAAATAAAGCAGAAAGAAAGGAGTACAATGAATGCACCAGCTAAGGACCTAGGTAACAGGGCTGAACACCAATCAGAACTGCTAGCAATTAAAGAACTCACTTCCAAGGCTGCGATGGTTTTGCAGTGAAATCTGATTCTAGAAGTACACTTGAATGGCATTAATTATACAAGAACCAAGTATCAAAAGCAGCTATGACAACACGCCTCGAAAATGGACGCCCTTAGAAAAGATTTTTTAATGTTGTTATAGAAAAGAGACAAAATTCTAGAAAATTCCTTCACATAAAAGCATTCTTTAGTTTTTTATCATTTAAAAAAAAGGAAGAAAAGCAAACAAAACAATGCCCTTGTGGTACAAAGGGCAATGGAACATCACTGTGCCATAAGAGACAATGATGTAAAGAATGTGGAAGCATGTGAAGACAGCTGAACTGATGCAAAGTGAAGAAAGCAGAGATACACAATGCTACTGCAAGTGAGATGGAAAGAGCAAAAGATATTAAAACTGAAGATGATATTATTTTAATGGCTTGGTCTGAAGAAACACCCCAACTTTTTTGCACAAGTGGGAGCCTATGTATGTGGAACTCTGCATACCCCTTCTGATTCAGTAGGGGGAGCGGTTAGCTCTATGAAACGGTTTTTTTTTTTCATTTTTTCATTCTTTGTTAAAAGGTATGATGCTCAGGGTCATGGAGAAAAGGGGTATATAACAGGAAATAAAGGTAATACAAAAACAAAACCTAGCAATAAAACATTTTTAAAAGAATGTGCTAAAAGACTTTTTAAAATTGATATTAACAGACAAAATTTCTTTTACAGTCAAGGTACATTTTCATAGGAGGCAGCTGCATGGCTCAGGGCCTAGAGTCAGGAAGACCTGAGTTCAAATTTGGCACCAGACACTTACTTAGTTGTGTGATGTCGGTAAAGTCACAACCTCTACCTTAATTCAGGAGAAGGAAACGGCAAACCATTCCAGTATCTTTGCCAAGAAATTCCATAGACAGTATTGGTGTAATATGGTCCACAAAGAGTCAGACATTACTGAACAACAATATTTTCAAAAAAAGACAGTTTAAAGATCCTTTGCTGACAGAACAGACTTGAGTCACCAACCTTAATGTGAACTTAGGAAATTTTATATATGTAGAAGTGTACACATACCTCCATAAGCAAATATTATTTATTATAATGTGGCATGTAGAAATATTTCTTGGGCCTTTCATTAAAGAATTCTAGAAATGTAAACCTATACTGGCATTCAGGGTGGATTTATCTAACTGGAGGGTTTCCTGAAGGAAGGTGAGTGAACAATGCCAAGAACAGAGTGCCAGCACGACCCGTCCAAAAGCACATGCCTAGTAATGCTTTATTCCCAGCCACAGGTTTTCAGTCTTCAAACTGGTCCAAATTCTTTTCCTTGTAATCAGAAAAGTTAAGTGATTTATACTAGAGAAAACCTCTCGACTACATTACACTAAACACGTTTTAAAGCTGAAGATCACTGAACTTTGTCTCACTTCATGGTTGCTTCCAATTGTAAAATGCGTATTTAGAAGGTCATTACTAGAAAAAGCTGGCAGCTACACGTTGACGTCTGAGTCATGCAACAGATGAAAACACAAGCCAGCTCTCAGTCCTCCGCAGGACTACGATGATCACATGTGATCACGGTAGAGACTGAAGAGGGAGAAAGGGCAAAAAACCGTAAGTTCTTTCTCTGATTGTCTGAAAGCCTCCATCTGTTGGTGCTCAATGCACAAATCTGGTCCAACAATTGAGCCCTACATAGAGCTCTGGGCCTGAAGTCAGGAAGACCCATCTTCATGAGTGCAAATCTAGTCTCAGATACTTCCTGTGTGAACCTGGGCAAGTCATTCACCCTGTTTGCCTCAGTTACTCCTCTGTAAAATGAGCTGGAGAAGAAAATGGCAAACCACTCCACGAAAACCCCAAATGCGGTGACAAAATGTCAGACATTACTGAAGTGACTGACTAATGGAATGAAATCCATGAAGCCTGGCCACATTGAGATCCTCAGTATAAAGCACCTTCTAGTGCTCCAGCTCAGTGAAGAAAGCTCACAGTCTCTCTTCAGAGGCCACTGAGAATGGGGAGCTTTTTTCAGAATGCCTCACATCATGAGACATCTCGTCATATGATCATGGAAGTTAGAGTGAGGACACAGGGCACAGAAGAAAATGAGGCAAGCTGCTCCCCCAGTCCAAGCAAGGAACTGATGAGCTTTGTCAGCTCTGGGAAGCCTGCTGAATGAAGAAGCTCCAAAGGGCTGAGTTGTTTTGGAAACACAAAGGCAGCTCAAACCTTAGAGCTAAAGAGAAACTGAGGGGGAGAAATAGCTTCCCCCAAACAACAGCCTCGGTGCTCTGGCGGTTTTATAAACTCCATACACCAACAAATGACCCCTATGAGATATATTTGTAAAATGCTTCAGATGCCCTCAAACACCTATTGATGGAGGAGCATTACTATTACCGTTTCATGTTTTTTCCCTCTTTTGTGAAGGCCTAGTGGCAAAAAATAGCTTGCCTTTCACTGGGCGCTAGTGGAAATAGGATGTTTAGCCATGGTCTGCCATGATCCTGTTTTGGTCTTGACTCCATAATTCTGATATTAGGATTGTTGTTCTGGGGGTTGGGGGGGTACTTGAGGGGATTTTTCCTTTCCCCTCAAGGGCAGGGATGAAGGCTCTGAGCCTTCAAGTTAGAATACTTAATTAGTCGCGGTAAAACACATAGGAGCAGTGGAAAGAATTTTTATAAGGGATCCATATACAGAGGGAATAGTAATGCCTTCTTCTCCTGAAAGAAGCAACCTGGATTTTGCTCACAGAGCTTCCTTGAACTGTATGAGGGTACTAACTACTGAGCCACAGGCACATATGCCTCCCACTATGTGCTTCCCTGCCTGGTGTACAGTGGGAAATGCCATGACATCATTCAATGTGTGAAAAGAAATTATTACTGTTACCTATATAGTATACTTAAATACCAGCAACAAACTTACAAAGTCGTAACGAGGCCTCTGGGTTCACTGATAAGGTAAAAAGAAAAAAACTTCTATTCTCATAGTCACCATACTTCTCAACCATAATGGTACACTAAATATTTAGTGTTTTAATAAAAGTCCAGATCAGGAATTGATCTTATTTTTTGTCAAAGACCCTTTTGGCAGTCAGGAAGTAGATCCCTTCTCAAAATAGTATCTTAATTCCATAACACAAAATACAGAG